TAACTACGTTACCTAGAAATTTGATGGAGGTACGTCCTGAACAGTTCGTCATTCTTTAAGTAACAACTGCAATCCTTTCTTTTCGCATTGCTTGCATGTTCACTTGTTTATTTTGCTATCAATACCAGGTCACTTCGTAAAATACTTGTTGTCACAGCTGTAAATAAGACTATAGTGTCGGAATCTAATAATCCTCTCGATTTTCTATCCAGAGATTTAGGAGGCTGACCCAAAACTACTTTTACATTCAGAGCCAGCTTAATGTTGTCTACTTAAATCTGAAGCATAATTACTTCAGAACTTGATAGACCTGTTAAATATAATCTAGACTGTATAGTCATACCCAATATAGCGGGTTTTCTCTTCTAAGCCTGCGTAACGCGTGATTTCAGCTTATATCAGATATGGTTCCCATCCTTTACTCGAGTAGACTCGGGATGTATATAAGATATCCTTTGCGCTAGTAATGCCACCATGGTGAATGTTGTCTGTGGTGGCCAAGCGTAACATTGCGGTAAATTAGGATTAGCCGAAGTCATTTTAATCCGTGTAAATGTTGCCAGAACCTTATGCCGGAGTGCGAGTATCACTAACATAAAGAGCTATATAGGCGCCACTCCTCGCAGCGTGAGCGCTTCCTCCAATGCTGTTCCTCCCCAAAACTTGAATAACAATGAAACGCCAATTTATGAATACCTTGTTGCACTGGTTCCAGCGGCACCAGGTAACCGAGTGTTGACGCGTTCTGGATTATATTCTGGCCATGACCAAGTTTTCACTTACCGATTATGGCTCATCAGCCTCGCCTTGTATCTGATAGAAGGTCATATCAACAGTATATCCGGTTTGATTTGTCCGGAATACTTTGGGCCAGATTAACATTATCAAAAACGCTAATTTGTGCCTCAGATTTAAAGAATTCTATTGTTAGAAACAACCTCTCCAGTCATGTGTTAAATCTGAGAATTCGATTTTTGTTCTTGACCACGCGTAAATACGACGGTCTTACGGCGAAGCACTGACCGTCTTCGTTAGGTTACGGTCAAGTAACTGTTGTATTAGATCGCTACAAGCTGGCAAACGCGGTCTTGCAAAAAAAGACTTGCTGTCGATCACGAGTGCTCTACTCAATGTCCTTGTAGTGTCTGTACCACGTTCCAAACCGTTTACGGAGTTTGTCGTAGTCTGCACCCGATAACTCCGTTTTGTGGATGTTGGAAGGGTTGACACCACCTTTAACCATACCATTGAAAAAATCCGTAAGCTTCGTCCCAAGAGAGTCGGCCTTGTTCGTTTTAGCCAAGCCCGCCAGGTGAGCGAGGTCCGCACCACTGGGGATTCCCCTTTCTTCTTCGTCCTCTTCACCATCACGCTTGTTGTTACTGTGGTAGCGCAACATTCGCTTGTCGATGTTCACGCCTTGGTCCGCACCGCGAGAAACAACCGTCATAGACGAGATATCCGACCCGAGACGAGGGGCTTCAGCCGCGAGACTAGCTTCTGTGAGAAGAGAGATCGCAACAGCGCCTAGAAGGACGAGGTGGGACAGACGCATTGGTAGTACTGGTTGGTTGTGATCCTTTGCGGAGACTGTTGTAGGGCAAGGCAAATTGTGGAATGAGATTGCAGAATGATGCCTGACTAGATCGTGTTCTAACGTACTAAATTATCGTAGTGGTTTTGAGCAGCAGCATCGGTCGTAACGACGTGAGGTCTCATCACAAAATGAAGATTTGGGATGCAATTGTAGAAGGGCCAAGCATTCAAATCAGTGCGCTGCGTGTTCGTACTCAGCTGTAAGTTACGAACGTAACGATTACCGTAAAGTCCGGATTGAATGAGACAAACGGATTGCGTGCAACGCGCGTAAAAAATAGAAAGGAACAGTTTACAAAACCCGGTACTTTTTACGACAAAAATGTGCCGGGTTTATTTTTTTTTATTGTTAGGCAAAAAGATATTTTTACGACTGTCTCAATACAGAAACTCCCTTCGGTAGTAATCCCTAGAAATGGAATATTCCTCAATAGCAACAATTTTGCGGTTCCCGTTGGCTAGTCACTTACAAACCCATTCCCTTTCACCCCTCAATCGTTAAATGGAATACATTTGAAGTTAAATATTCCTATTCTGGGGTGTTTAACTATGGAAAAAGTCATAATTGTACAGTATATCCGAAGAAATCTAGCAAATACTTTTGGTGCTTGTGGCCTTGCTTTCTTCCAAGTTCTTCACGGAGCGTGCTCTGCATTTCTCGCAATCCGCTCACCGATCTATCCGATACGCCAGTCGCACCTGCACGAACTAGAAGCTTAGCGACCCACCTGAGATGCTCTTTAATTGCTTCTGGCTCAATGTCCTCCTCAATCCACGATCTACGCTCCATATCGTCCTCGTCCATGTTTTCTGAGAGCCATCTACAACCAATTCTTGATCACCAACTCCACAGAAGTCTTCATCTGTGGGATCTTCTGCAGGTGTGTTCTCGTCCGGCGGGTTCAGCAGCTCGTTGAGTGTTAGTGAGTGTGAGTCGAACTGTCTGAGCTGGAGAGGAGGGCATCTTGGTGCGACGAGTCAAAACTAGAAATAAGAGATTGTGAAACACCAGCGACGAGCTAAGCCAAGAGTTTCCACTACTGGATGCGGTGCACTAAAGCTACTCGGAACCATTTTTATGGCACATACGTGAAAAGGAATACCCTTAGACAGGAATAAATTGTTGGTTCCCAACGCGATCACTACCGAAGGGATCTTCTGTATAATAGTTCTGTCGACGTCGACATATCCAGATGCCAGGTGTTACCGGAGATCGCTAACATTCGTTGAAGCTGTTTTGACGTCAAATTTACATGTGAACATAGGGCTATTGATAACCATAGCACAAAACACTGTTTTTTTTTTTGTTTTTGTGCTGTGGCTTTAGGTGATAGCGCATGCAGCTACAAATATAACACTTTTTTTGTTGAGCCAGATGAAGCCGGGAGCAAGATCTACTAAATTCCCACACAAAACACCAAATATTTGTTTTAGAAACTCAGAACAATGCATAGATCTACTTTTATGCTAAACGTATGCTGATGTTGATGCTGCTGCTACAGCAGCATAATATATTTGCAAACATGCTGTCACTCTGGTACTGCATCATATTTAGTGATTACGCTTTCGCTCGAAAACGTAATATACTTCAAGCTGTCACTTCTACCATTCGATCATTAGAGCTTAGTTTTAAATATTGAGCACTCGACTGAATTTCTAGCAAATTACGAAATCACCTTTACGCCTATTAAATGATGCGATGGTTCAAGAAAATACCAAAATACTACTTAGTGTCGCTACTTCAGGTGAATTTTCTAGAATCGCCGAGGACCAAAACATGATGGCAGCATCTAATAACTAGCTGAAGAGACGTCACATACGACCAATCCACACTCAATTTCGAATTTGCACTGCACATCATAGGTCACTATGGCACCTTCCCAAAGAAGCACCCGCAGAGGCGGGTGCCAGAGCCGCCAACCGCTCGCTGTCACCTCAAGATATTGCCCAAGGCGTGTCGGTGCTCACTCAACTGGATACCCAGCGCCAAGCAGCTTGTGTGAGTGTAGTGTCGCTGTGTCTCATCAAACCGGAGGACGAGGTTGACTCGCCGTGCCCAATCTATCACTCATTTTGCACCAACGACCCCGAAAATCCCAGCCGCCTAACCAACTTCTCTCATCACGAGTTCGAGCGGTTCTGGAGCCAAGTTCTCATGCACATCACCGAGAATTGGAACGTTGGCCGCGGTAGAAAATGTGAACAAACTCCAAAGGACGTTTTTTTACATGTTTCTAACCGTCTTAAAGCATTGCGGCAAGTGGGACGTCGTCGCCAGTATCTTTCGCTTCAAGACCGGTGCCTTCCAGAAGATGATTTTATCATTCACGGGGGTTATTCCTCCTTTTTCTTTACGACCGGTTTGTCGCTTCCGTTGCCAACAAGTTTACGATGGAGCAGCTCGTGCTGGGTGATAATACGTTTGACCACCACCCCTACGCCCGCTACGCTACAGATGTTACCTTCCAACAGAGTAGCATGCCGTCGGGCAAAATGAAGGAGCGCGCGGCGTATTACAGTGCGAAGCATCATCTTCATGGCTACAAGGTAGAGGTGTCAGTATTACCCAATGGGCTTGCCTTGAACTGTACAAAGCATTACCATGGTATCGAAGCCGATATTGAGATTTTCCGTCACAACCACGCCTTTCACCTTCAGCACCTTCTCAAGAGCTCAAGCAAAAGAATATGGCGGATGAGAGTCCGATGAAGGATAAGTATCCGAATTCGTGATCAGAGGCTATCAAGATTTAGCTGGTGACTTTCGCGTGATTAATCAGAGACACTTAAATGTGTCCTTTCTGTATAATGTATTGGAGCGATTAGAAATGTCCATACTGTACAGGTACACATTTTAGATGCAGCGAAGGTATTCCTGAAGCGGATAGAGTTTTTTTATCTGGAGTTAGACTATAACTGACGAGGCTACTTAGATCGCTACTGATAAAAGAAAATTTACTATTCTAGGTTTGTACTGTATGGAAATTCCTAATCTCTCAAAAGGGTTAGCATCCCCGCCCGCAGGAAAATTTACTCAACGTTATCTCAGACCAATGCCAGACCATATCATGGCCGCCATAGTTGGATTTTAAGGTAGAAATATAGCTTTTTGTCAAACTTTGCCCTAACCTGTGGCAGTGCTCTAAATGGGCTTCTTTCAAACAATTTTTATATTTCAGACTTGGGCCGAAGGCACATCTTTGTATTTTTCAGAGAAACTTGCAAGAAAACCTGAAGGTGGCAAGAAAATAACAAAATGCACCACAGCAGGTAGCTAAAACATGTAAATCTATTTCACCTGAACTTCCTGCGCGAGCTTACGCCCGACGTGCCTTACTGTTGCGAAATGTCTCGAGCAGTTTCGAGTATGTCTGCTGCTGCAACTCCGTGTTGGCCAGTTCCTTCTCTACCTGGAGCTTCATGCGTTTACGTTGCTCCCCATTCTCGTTGACGATCGGATCCACCGTGCTCTGTTGCTGTTGCAGCTTTTTACGTCGTTTGTTCTTCTTCTTCTGAGACGTCGACATTTCGTTCACGTTCTTCACAGACTCGTCAGTTTCGATAACCTGGTGCGGCTTCGGTAGCATCGTATCCATAAACGACCTGTACAGCGCCGTCATGGACGGCAGCACGTGGGCCGGTGCGTCGAACAGGCTGCTGGACGCAGAGCCGTTGACCGCCACGCCATGAGGCCCAGCGTGTTTGTGGCTGCTCTTCTTCTCTGCAAGGCGACCGCCACTGGCGGCGTTGTAGATAGCGCTCAGTGCCTTGGCCTCCTGTTCACCGTCCTTGGCAGCGTCGCGCGCGGCGACGGCAGCAACGTGGGCCTGCTTCCGGCGTCGGGCGTCCAACGATCTGGCCTTCGGTCCGTCCAGTCTCCATACTCCAGTCTTGTTGTCGAGCAGCACAATGTCTCCAGTGCCTGGGTGGAAGCCAGCGCTCCACACTTTGCTGCCTAGATCCACAACACGCACGCACGTCGGCACGGGCGTCTGGGCGTCGAAAACCAGCACCAACGTTTTCTTCTTCGAGTCATCCACCGGTAGCCACACCAGGAAACGCTCGTACAAAGCTTCCTCGGCCACGACGGCGCCCTTGGGCACTGTGTAGCGCCACCACAGTGACAGCGACAGCACGCTCCACACCTGTACCTGAGACTCCGTCACGATCACTACGTACGGCGAGTTGATACCAGGGAAAACAATCTGTGTAATGGTCTGGCCGTCCGCGGAGGGGATCACACGACGCAGCGAGTGCGTCGCAACGTCCCAGAGCGTGAGTTTGTTACCGTACGCAACCGCCAGCAACGAACCATCGCGCGCAAAGCCCACCGCCGTGACCGGCTCGTCACGGAACCGCACGACAGCCTGGCAGTGCCACGACGCGCCACCTGCCTCCGTTACCACCTTCTGCCACACCTTGAAATCACCCTGCTCGTCGGCCGTCACCATGCAGTCCTCGGTCTGCGAAGGCGAGTATGTCATGCTTGTAACACGCGCGCGGCCATGAGGCGCGTCAATCGCCGTGTTTACAAAGAATGAGCCGTCCACGCGACGCGTCCAGAACCGCAGAGCCTGTTCGTCACCGTGTTTCGCCGTCGTCGGCGCATGCAGCGTCACCAGTTCGCCGCCACGAGAACTGAAGCACGAATGTGACGCACGAAGCGTAGGCAGTACTTCGTCCTCCGTGCGCGTAACCTGGTTACGCTCCGACAGCAGCAGCGTCTGCAGTACGCGATCCGCGAACGGCTCATAGAACTGCAACACGCCCGCGCCGGACGACCCGTTAAGCACGAGCGCCTTCGACACCGGGTCCACTGCTAATTGACGCGTCGGCAGCGAGTTGGCCGCCGAATTGCCGGCGCGCGCCAGACCGCGCGCCTCCCACTCCTGTTCGCGCGTCACCGGGTTGTACTGGAACAGCACACTGTCCGCCAGGCCCACGGCGTACACGCCGCCGTCTTGACGGGGCGCAATGACCTCCACTGACGCCGGAAGGCGCGGCAGATAGGCGCGACGACCTGTTTCCAGTTGCCAAGATACCAACACGCACTCCTCACCGCCGGACAGCAAGAACTGGCCGTCGCTCGAGTACTGGATGCAGTGCACGGCGTGCGAGTGCCAGTGCATCTTGGCTGCTGTTTCTCCCTGCTGCTGGTACCGGAAGATCTGGCCGATCTGGTCGCCGATGGAGAACTCTCGTTGTGTCGGACTGACAGCGACGCACGTGACGTCGCGGAGGTGGTTGAGCTTGTGCATCGTGTAGAGGCGATTGCCCGAGTCTTTAGCTCCTGGCTGATGGTGTAGCCACAGTGTGACCAGCTTGTCGCCGGCCGCCACTACTAAAAAGTCGCCCGGAACAGCCTGTTCACCCTCACCCTGTGGCGTCGTGTAGCTCTGCAGCGCTGCGGCCTGGAACTGCTTCTTGCCGTTCTGGAACAGTACGCGGCCGCGCTTCTTCTTCTTGAGACTGAACTCCACGACACTCCAGCTGTTTGCGTCGCTCTGGACGACCAGAAGAAGCTGCGACGCGCTGGTACGGCTGGACGCCATCCACAGTACAGGTGCCTTAGCGTCCAGCTCCGCCAGCGGCTTGTGCTCCACGAAGTCCCAGACGAGAATGTGGCCATCTTCGTATGCAGCTAGAAGTTGCAGTGCGTTGTGCGGGTGCAGCGCCAGCGCGCGGACAGCACTCTTGTTACCAGCGCGTACACATTCATGCAGGACGCGGCCGCTCTGCGCGTGCAGCACACGCACCACGTGTGCCTGACGCTGGAACACGTAGCGACCGTCAGACGAGTATACGAGCGTGGCGGCGGGGAGACCGACGCGTCCTGAGGCTGGTGCGGCCTGCGGCGGCGGCGTCAGCAGCTCCAGCTCGTGCTGCTCGGTCATGGCTGGCAATGGTTGTCTGCTTTGGCTGGTGGACGACTGGAAGTGAGCTTCTACTACTTGGTAGTCAAATGACAGTATATGTAAGTATTATGTGACTTCTGAGTAGTTAAACTAATTGACGAAATATGTAGGTATGTAGCCATATGTCGTTTCGTGCAATGACTTCAACGTCCGATGCGGACGAGCTCCCGTTCCGAGCGTTTGTGCCTGCCAAGCAGGATGTAGCCGACTTGGCCGAGTTGGCAGACCTCGAGAAGGTGTCAGTGCTATCGTACAATGTGCTGTCGCAAATGGGTGCAAGAAGGATGCAACGTCGAGGCAAGAGCTACGTCAGTGCAGCCATACTCAACATCCGACAGCGACGAGAGAGACTCCTACGGTTAGAGATCCTAGCGAGCTACATTGGAGTTTGTGATCTTAACTCACTATTATCAATGCAGAGAGATCCTTTCATATGATGCCGACATCATGTGTCTGCAGGTACCAACAAATGCTTAACATTTGCCTTAACGATGATCTGTACTTACTTAAGTACGCTTTTGTGCTACAGGAAGTCGATGAGTATGACGACTGGTGGGCTGCAGAACTCGCTATTGCAGGCTACGATAGTATTTACGCTACGTCTGCAGCGTCAGATTCAACAACCGTGACCAAGGATATCGATGAAGGTCTCGTGACAGCGTTTAGGAAGTCAACTTTTCAGCTGTTCCGGTCCGCTGAGGTGCATTTGAACGACTTATGTGCCAACATCAACGACGCGAATCTTGCAGCTAGAGCGAAGCAAGACAAGATCGCGTTAATGGTGTGTTTGCAGCCGTGGGAGACCTCGACGTTACCGTCTGCGCTCTGTGTAGTCAACACGCAACTTGCATCGGGTGCCACGTCCGAGTTGGAGCGTGTACGCGTGCTCCAGACTGAGTATCTGTGCCGCCAGATTGCTGTGTTTAACGCGGATTTCCAGCTGCCCGTCCTGTTAGCTGGGACCTTCAACGCAGTTCCAAGTAATGACGTCTACCATACGATTCTCACAGGCCGGCGACGACCTGTTCCTGAGGCGCCGGCAGCTCCAGGGCGTCCGGTGATCGACGACCCGACGTCCTCATCTCTACGTATTTCATGGGAGCCACCCCAGCCATCTTTAACGTCAACGACACCTTCAACTCCCGTTCTGGAGTACAAAATCGCTGTCAAAAACTGCACGAGCAAGGCATCCGGCTTCCTGTACGAGTTGTCCGTGCCGGACGGAGCGGCCAAGTCGTTCACAGTGACATCGCTGAGTGCTAGTATGACGTACCAGTTTCGAGTGATGGCTCGCAACGCGTACGGATGGGGATATTGGAGCCAACCTTCAGCTCCTGGAAGCACGTTAGAACATGCTGCGTACAAGAAGTTAGGGCCTACCACTACAGATTCAGACGGGGAGCCTTTGTTCCTCGCTACAGATGTTCCTCCAGACGTGAAGCCGTACGATGTCTCCTACGGTTCGGGGCGTACGCCGCGATACGCGAGTGACGTGAAGCCGGTCGTCAACGTGATCGCGTGTCCACGGCCTTTGTTGTCTTCGGTTGACAAGGCTGTGGGTGGCAGTGACCAATGCGCAGAGGCGAAACGATACACCACATTACAACCTCGAGCTGACCGGGACAGTCTGATCGTGCACAGTGAGCTGATGGAGAGTGCCTATGGTGCCTATGCGGAGTATTTGAGTGAGCCCGAGCTCACGTTCTCCAGTGAGAACTTTCAGGGGACAATCGACTATATCTTCCACTCCGCGGGACAGCTAACGCCGTTCCAACTGCTTGAATTGCCGACACTGGAGGAACTAGAATCAACAGGTCAAGATATTCGCGAACCCGTAAGTGTCGAGGACGTCGAGTGGGTCAAACACAAACCCGAGGACTGGACGGACGACGCAACATCAGGCACAAGCTACATGGGGACGTGGTGTGCTCCGATGCTTCCTAATATCTTCGGACGTGCTTCTGGGCGGCTACCCAACGCAACTTGTCCGTCCGATCACCTGCCGTTGGCCTGCGTCTTCGCCATCAGGAAGCAAAACCTTGCCGTGATGTGGAACTGAGAGCACGTACAATAAACACCAAGCAGCTTTAGATTATGCAGTTAAAGCTCGTCCTTGCGAGAGTAGTTGTTGCTCGTGTCAATCTGTAGCACTTCTTGGCAGGCGTCGCGGTGTAGCGTAAGAGAGAAGTCGCCCAGCTTTGGATCAGCAGGTGAGTAGCCGATACGTGGCGGCGTGGACTGCCCCAAGCCGCACACTTCCGTGACGTCAACGCCGATGACTTGAGACTTAGTGGGGTCGCAGCGGAAGTGAGTTACAGGCGGCCACGGCTCGACATCGGCGATCATCCAGAAGCCGTTGTGGCGGAACAGACGGAAATCCGTCTCGAGAGCTTCGTTGTCGTCATCTTCTCTGAAAAATACGGGCGTGTCTGGATCGGATTGCACCACGTCGGGAGGCTGCAACACGTAGTGGCCGTTCATGCCGGGCACCCTAGAGCCGCACACGAAGAACTCGTCACTGTCCAGAAGGTTGGTCGATGCGAGCACGGGACTCACTGCGTTCTGGAGCTTCGCCAGCTCATCTGAACTTAACATACCAGATTGTGGAGCTTCTTGGGGCTCCGGTGAGACCACGGTGGTGACTAGAGACAGGAACACGTATAGCTTCATGATGTGAGAAGCTTGTCAAATGACACGTCGCTTAAGATCGCGGCTGACGGCTCGTCATGTTCCACTTCAAGTTACGTCGTTACAAGAACCGTAACCATTCTCGTTCCGTGCGTACGTGAATTCAGCCAACATGGCTCGACAAGGCTCGCAGGAGAGCACAAGCTCCAAGACGGACAAGGGGGGTCAATCTGAGGCTGGCGGGTTGATGGCGGTGGATGTTGTGTTCAAATCTGTCGACAAGAACAACGTGCAGCGACTACGCGAGCTCAACCTGCAGCTCTTCCCTGTGCGGTACAACCTTGCGTTCTACAAGGAGGTAGTGAGCTCTCCACTGGGATATGCTCAACTAGGTAAGGATCGATAAATGCTTTTATGGTCGAGCGTTGACAGAGTATGTATGCGTGGCCAGCATGCGTCGGAGGTTATGCTGTCGGAGCTATCTGCTGTCGACGAGAACCAGTGAAAGATGGACCGGACGGGTTAGAACGCACGTACATCATGACGCTCGGAGTTCTAGAAAGTTATCGCCGTGCTAAAATCGGTAAGTGACGTCAGAAATGACCTCGTAATGATACAAAGCTCACTCGACCTTACTGTGCGTACGTACAGGTAGTCGTCTGCTTGAAGGAGTCATCGCACAGTCCGTTCGGGACAGCGTGGTGCAGATCTACCTCCATGTCCAGACCAACAACACCCCAGCACTGCGTTTCTATCGTTCACACGGCTTCGAGGCCACTCAGATCCTGCGCAACTACTACAAACACATTGAACCGCCGGACTGCTACGTGCTGCGCAGACAACTCACCCCATAGACTCCATGGATTTCTAAATCTTAATCTAGGCATTCCTCGATCCCTAAGCTGCAGTCTCAACCTCAACCTTTCTCCGCTTCGGATCGTCCTGCTTCGACGTCTGGCGCTCCGAGCTGAACGCGATAGACTCAGGCAGTTGGAAGGAAATGCAGACCATGACCTTCTTAGGCGCCACATCACGCACAAGATGGAACAACGTCCGCTCCGGGTCGAGTTCTCCGCCCATAATCTTCTCAGCACGCTACAAAAACGAAAGATTTCACGTAAGTACAATATTTTCTGTACGACCACAAACCGCCGTTATCTTACCTCCTTGACGTCCTTCTTGACGTCCTCAGCGTTGGAGAAACAGTAGCAGTGAATGTACGGGAGCTCTCCCTCCCAGTGGTCGAACTGTCCAGGGAACGCGTCAAGGAACTCGAGCGCAATAGCCGGCAGGTTCATGAGAACCTGAGTGAACTGCTTCTTCTCACTCAAGAGTTTGGCCAGGAACTCGCGACCGTCCAGATTGTAAGGCGTCACGAGCTTCTCCACCTTATTGAGAGCAATATTCTGCTTCAAATAGTGGTAACTACGCGGATTCAGGTCGTTGGCGTACACTTTACTGCCGTTCAGCGCCACGGGGATGGCGAACGGACCGATGCCGCACATCATGTCGCACACGACGTCGTGTGGCTTGATCTGACGGATGATACGCAGATGTTCCTGTTGCAGACGCGAGTTCCAATACACCTCTGCATAGTTAAACTGGAACGTGGCTTTGCTCTCATGTACCTCGACCTCCATATCGTCATCACCGGCCAGCACTTCCATTGGAAAGGTACGGAATTTAGTCTCGATGTTGTCCGTCTTGTTCACGACCGTGCGGATCTGTGCGTTCTTGTCCAAAATAACCTGTCCAATGACGTTCTTGTATGGCAACTGGTTGTCTCTTAAGTTCAAGTGTGCGATGTGTCCGACCGTCTCGAAGGAGCTGGGGATGTCCATGCCCTTGGGTAGAACCTCACTGAGCACCTGGTCAACAGCGAAGTAGCTGTAGTCCAGCTCGATGGCGTGGCTTACGAAAGCCAGACTCTCTTCCTTTAAGAAGGCCACGAGGTCCTCATTGAGTGGCTGCAGCGTTTCCATGTCCTTCACTTTGGAATTAAGCAGAATGAGTTTGCTACTGGAATTCTTGTACGGGTCCGGGTTGGTCGGGTCCGGTACTACATTGCGCAGACGTGGCAGGTTAAGCAGATGGCCGTGCAGCTTCTTAACTACGCGACCGATCTTCTTGGCCTCCACGCGCACGCCTACGACCTCTAGCGTCTTCTTGAACAGCGTCTTGTCAAGCAGCGGCTTGGACATGGTGGTATTTCGACGAGAAATGGCTACAATGCAATTGATGGCCGAATGTGACTGATGTGGCAAACATGAATTTAGCGTGGTGCACATTTGATTGAAGTGTTTGTGTGTGGCTCGATGTGTCTATGGTGCTGCTAGCTGAGCTGCTTGCGCAACACGAAGCAGTGTGGCGGATTGAGCTGCGAGTAGTAGTTGCGCATAAGCTTAGTGACTTCGAAGCCGTGTACTAAGTAGAAGCGCTGCGCAGCCGCGTTGCAGGTCTGTACGTGCAAATATACATAGGCAAGTCTATCCCTGCGAGCCTGCTTGATCACGCTTTCGAGTAGTAAGCTGCCTGTGAAACGTAACATCAAACGACACGTCGTAAGTTGAAAGAACGTATCTTCTGCCATAGGAGAGTGTAAATATCACACCTAGTTTGGAGCGGCGGTATTTGTCCAGCACGCCGATCGTCAAAATGCACAGACGATAGCGGCGTTTGCCCGATATCCTCACCTTCTCCACCTCACAGCACACCGTACCAATAGCAGTACCATCGTTTGCGAAAGCTACAGCAAACTCAGTTAATTTGCGTCCCCTGTCACTATATTTGCCATAACACGACAGCGTACCGAGTTTGCAGTACCCTTCGGGTGCATCTGTCACGTATTCGTAGAACACATCGTTATATTTGACAGGAAACAGCTTTTCGTTGATGTCGTGTAAAAATGCTGTACGTTGTCAGTATCAACTTCTTGAAATGACACGTCCCCAATCGGCAGTGTCTTGACCTCGAGAAGGTCAGGCCTTCCCCCCATTTCCTCTCTCCGTATCCACTACGCGATCTGCTACATCCTCTGCATTGTTAATCCGGACAGTATGAGGCACGAAGCTGAAGGAAGCAGCGCGCAGGAAATTCGTCAATTGCTCACGCAGCGGCTGCAGTGTCTCGGGACTGCGCACTCTAGTACTGAGCAGTACTAACTTCATTGCGTCGCTCGCTGGATCAGCCACCACATTACGCAGCTTGGGTAGGTTCAGTAGGTGGTTCTGTAGCTTTTTAACCACTTTACCGGCCTTGGAAGCCTCTACACGCACGCCCACGACCTGCAGCGTTTGACGTAGCATGCATATCCTCAATGCCCACAAGAACTTTGCTCTAAAGGTCCATCCTCAAATTCTCAATTTTATCCACTCATAATCGTGAAACTAGCTAAGTACGACACAATTCATCCAATCACACCTGTTGATGCGGCGGACATCCGATCCAAGCAAACAAAAGACCAAATTCCATTCCGCAACCCACCACCACGCAGCTCAGAGCTCCGTTAGAAATCCGATAGAAACGATGGACGCTGTGGTTCCCTCTGCTAAGCCTACGACGGCCCCCACGCTGTTCCGTCGCAACCGCATCCGCGTCAAGGAACTGCTGAGCAGCGGCCTGGAGCTTGAGGGCAAGACTGTGACCGTCAAGGGTTGGGCCAAGACGCTGCGTGAGGCCGGAGCTGGCGCCTTCGCCTTCCTGGAGCTCAACGACGGTTCGTGCTTCGCCGGCGTGCAATGCGTTATCAACAAAGAGGAGACTGAGGGCTTCGCTGAGGCCGTCGCGTCAGGCGGCGTCGGCGCCAGCTTCAGCGTTGAGGGCGTCGTGGTCAAGTCGCCCGCTAAGGGCCAGGAGGTCGAGATTAAGGCCGCCAAGGTTACGGTCTACGGCAGCATCCCCGACAGCGCTACGTACCCTATGAGCAAGAAGCGCCACACGCTCGAACATCTGCGTGCCCACGCTCACTTGCGTCCGCGCTCCAACATCCACGGCGCCGCTATGCGTGTCCGCAACGCCATGGCTTTCGCCACCCACGAATTCTTCAACCAGCGCGGCTTCCTGTACATCCACACGCCAATTATCACTGAGTCGGACTGCGAAGGTGCCGGCGAGATGTTCGGCGTCACTACGTTGCTCAGCCAGCACGCGGACGGCAAACTGCCGCTCACGAAGGAGAACAAGGTGGACTACACCAAGGACTTCTTCGACCGTCCGTCGTACCTCAGTGTGTCGGGCCAGCTCAACGTGGAGACCCACTGCTGCGCTCTATCGGACGTGTACACATTCGGCCCCACGTTCCGTGCTGAGAACTCGAACACGTCGCGTCATCTGGCCGAGTTCTGGATGATTGAGCCCGAGATCGCGTTTGCCGATCTCAAGGACGACATCGACCTGGCTGAGGACTACCTCAAGTTCTGTGTGCAGTACGCACTGGACCACTGCACGGAAGACCTGGAATTCTTCAACAAGAACGTCGAAAAGGGGCTGTTGGACCGTCTGGCGGCCACTGTGGAGTCCCCGTTCGTGCGTATCTCGTACACGGACGCCGTGGAGCTGCTACTGAAGCCGGAGCACTTGAAGAAGGGCAAGTTCTCGGTCAAGCCGGTGTGGGGCACCGACTTTGGCTCGGAGCACGAGCGTTATCTGACCGAGACGGTCTACAAGAAGCCCGTGGTGATCTACGACTACCCCAAGGAGTTCAAGAGCTTCTACATGCGTTTGAACGACGACGGCAAGACTGTAGCTGCTGCTGATGTGTTGGTGCCGAATGTGGGCGAGATTATTGGCGGATCGGCGCGTGAGGAGCGTCTGGACGTGCTCGAGGCTCGTATCAGGGAGTCTGGAGCCAACCCGGAGGACTACAAGTGGTACCTGGAACTACGCAAGTACGGTACGGTGCCCCACGCTGGCTTCGGCCTAGGCTTCGAGCGTCTCATTCGTTACGTGACTGGCATTGAGAACATCCGTGACGTGATCCCGTTCCCACGATGGCCGGGCAACGCCTCCTTCTAAGCAGAATATGCTACGAAGTAGGCCGCGAGACGGTACTGAAGGCTTATGAAGGCGTAGACGATGTGCATCTCTAGTATTCAGGTCCTGGTAAACACAACTAAATCGTTTGCAAAGGTTGAATTCTGTGTTTTACGGGTGTCGGAAGAGTGTGATGCACTTCTTGCCGACGTTGAAGCGCACAAAGTTCTTGCTCTCGTATGTGAAGGCTGTTTTATACTCGGAGCCGACGATGCAGTGCCAGGTGGGGCCGTATTTCTCTTCCATCCACGTCTTGATGTGCTTGGCGATCTCCTTCTCCTGCGTGAACTGCTCCAGCGCAACGTGAGCTTGTGCTACTGCGTCGTTCTTCATATCTCCGTGCTCGTCCACTGCACACGGACAATATAAGAGGGTGATTCGCAATTTCAGAAAGCTATTTGCTAAGGTATTACACTCCCAGCCTTACTGTCCGTCTCCATCTGCTTGCCATTCTCGCGCGACATGGTGTAGAACTAAAGTGTATCCATCACTGTTGGCGTCGCTTCATGATCTTCTCGCGTTAAGTACGATTATCTCATGGATTGGTTTCAGCCAATCAGACGTTAGTCGACAAGTGAGTGAAGCGCGGGAGGAAGCGAGCGGAGTCGCCGTCTGTAAGAGACTCAGTAGCCATGACTCATGACTTGTCGTCACGCATCGAGTACTCGGAGAAGTATGTGGACGACACCCACGAGTACAGGTGCGTTGAGATCTCCACTAAGCGCAATAAACGCGGCAAATTTGACTTTTTCGAAGGTAATTGGCAAATTTAATCGTCGTTATGATTTATTTTATCTGGTTGCGATTGCAGACACGTGATCTTGCCTAAGGAAATGCAGCGCAGCCTGCCCGATCGCCTGCTGACTGAGACCGAGTGGCGCCAATTGGGCGTCCAGCAGAGCCGCGGATGGGTCCACTACGCCATCCACAAGTTCGTTTTGCTTGGGCTCAGTGTGGTTTTATCCCGATATTTCTAAAGGTGCTAACCCTGTCTATTGTTATCGCTGTTGCTGCGCTCTTTCGTGTGTACAGACCGGAACCGCACATTTTATTATTCCGACGCCCACTGGGCACAGACCCCACCACTGGCCGCGTGAATCCGGAGATGGAGAAGCAGGCCAAGGAAAAATACGCCAAGGAGTTTAACTGATGTGTTCGTGAACGCATCTCTGCTGTCGGACGCTGAGATCTAACACAGCAGTGGTGTTTCAGCCTGGATGTACACAGGAGTTGTGAGATTGAGCAATACAACGTTCAACTACCTTTGGAGACGTTTTAATTTCCACATGACTTGTGTTGTTGCACTTGCTAGAGGTAAACTGCATTTTTGGCTAGTGCGTATTGCCTGGGACTTAAGCTCGTTGAAGCGCCGCTGCCTGTTACAGGCCCCGGATCTACTGCACAGAACCTCTTTTTTTTCTTACCACCATGATTATTTGAAAAAATATAAATCATGTTCTTGAAAAAAAAAAAACTTCATTCTATTTTTTTTAAACATCAAAGAAGCTTGGGTCAGACAGAATTCTAGTAGCGGAAACACCAGAATGGAGATAAAGACTGCAGTGGCGGACGCTGCGCCAAAGTGGGTAGGTACGGCCACGATGACCTTACCGAAAGAGCTACCTATGGAGCATGGGTCCACGACGTCCGAAATCTACGTACGCGACTGCTATCCTCCCTACTACAAGCGTATTGCCAGGATGATGGAGGACAGAACGACGGGAGGAATTACCATCACTGGAACGCCAGGTGCGACTGCACTTGTGTTAGTTGAGTACCTAACTGGAATACCTTCTGACTGTTACCATGACGTAGGAATTGGCAAATCGGTCTTTTTCAGGTATCCCTCAAACGTTACGGGTTTGAAAACCCTCTTGTTACGACCATAATGGCCTCGTTCGTGGAAACGGGTCCCCAATGATGAAACATGTGGTTGTGTGGAGAAACAGCGAGATACTTCGCAAGGTGGATTCTGGTACAGATGCGATGATGACACGAGCTTGTTTGCAAGCGCAGACCGAAGCACCTAGTGGTGTGTTTTATCTGTACGATGGTCCACCTCAGGTGTACCCTCGACGAGCTCGAATGGTCTGCTTCACGAGTCAAAACATGGAGTGGTTCCGCAACAACACAAAGGACGAGAACCATCTAGAGCTCTTTATGCCACTGTGGAGTCTACAGGAGCTTGAAACAGCAGCGGATGCGCTGGCCCTTTGAATGGATTCAGATGGGACAGATCCTTCCCCAAATGATGTGCCGATGGTCGCTGGTCTCGTACAGGAGCGTTTCCACGTCTTTGGCGGCGTTACTCGTGAATGCCTGGCTACAAGTGCATAATTTGTCAAAGATTGCGAAAAAGATATCGAGGAGACTACAGAAAAGCTTGAAAAGACGGAGCAGACATAGCGAGTTCTCGACGTTGATGAGTACGCCATTATTCACCCCTTGGCCTGCCATCTTAAACCGGACCCAAAGGACCCGATTAATTACACGGTTGGGGAGTCATCCGTGTCCGTGAAACGTTGGCTGGTGGCACAGTTACTCCGTCACAGTAGCACGAAGAGAGACGACGTTATCGTCCGGTTGAATACGTCCTGCATTGTTTGCGGATCTGTTTGAGGCGGTGTGCACGAAAAACTCGTACCCGGATGCACAATTGAAGCGCGCGGAGTTGACGGTTCTGCATCAGGAACGAGCATCAGTATTAAGAAGTCCAGTGGCATTTGCTTCTTCGGCAGGGGTTTCTCCGCCGCGGATCTGGAGCCTGATAAGTATTACGTCGCAACGAAGGAGAATTCTGTGGCGATCGACTCGTTCTATTACTCGACGTCGCCTCCTCAAATACTACTTTTCAAGATGTTGGTGGGGGCAGCTCTTCCAGTGACGGACTAAGGACTATCGTGTCTGTTAAAGCAACTAGGACTCTCGGAACTGGTGAACCAACGTCAAGTCGTGCTGATCTTTGTGGCCCCACCAAACGATGCGTCGAGCTTTCAACGCCTGAGGATGCTCAACGTCGGTGAAGCTGAAGAACTTCGATGAAAAACAATCCGCGTGTCGTGTGGAGACCCACTCTACATTCCTGATATTTGGTGGAGGAATGAACGTTGACGCTCCTCGCTGAGAGAGCTTTTGTGCTGCATTTTGTTGGTGTCAGATTCGATTTCGTAGCCGACTAACCCGTAAACAGGGAGTAACTAAGGAGCGCCCAAGTTTGGAGCAACCTAACGTAGGGTTGGCAAGTCAAACTTAGCTAAAGTTTACGTAAGCCTTACATTCGTTTGTCTGGCTGATTCTAAGACTTTGCTAAGGATTATTTTCGTACCTAAGGGAACTTCAAGGTATCTGATGCACACTACCAGCAGCTCACTTCACAAAGATTTCCGAGCCTCACACCAAGCCTTCGCACCGCTTCGACTCCCGACAGCCTGCCACCATGCCCAAGCAACGTTCTCCGATCTGGGAGCTGTTTGTGGAAACACAGCGCCGCGAAAAAGGTGTTCGAGCCCATCCTGAGGCGGAGTGCAAGGCCTGTCACGCAGAACTGAAGAACGCGATGCCTTCTGAAAATATGCTTCGTCATGCCATCAATTGTACAGAGCTAGGAAGTGAGGAAAACGCTCAAAGGAAGCGTCATTACGACAACCTTCAGCAGCAGAAAGCAAAGAAGCTGCTGGAACCATCGCAGCAGGCAGCGGACGAGCAGTCGTATGCGTCGCTGCATCTTCGCAGCCCCTCCACGGTCAACAAGAGACTGTTTGTCAGCCCTGAATCCGCTAGGCACTCTGCGCGTAAGTCTCCGCGACTTGCTGCTGCTAGACGTGCCGCACGGAAGAATGTTGTTGACGAAAAGAAACTTCGCGTAGCGATGGCATTTTATGCCACTGGAATTCCGTTTCGTGTTGTGGAAGATCCTTTTTTTCGTGCCATGTTCGATTATGAACTTCCATCGCGCCGGCAACTAGCAGGCTCCCTGCTTGGTCGTACTTATGAACGTGAAAAACAGCTCGCTATTGAAGCATTGAAAGGAAAGGGCAATTTGGCCCTAGTAACTGATGGATGGTCTAACACGAGCGGTGACAGCATTATCAATTTCATGTTTGTCAATCCTCGATGTCCTGCTGTATTTTGGAAGTCGGTGTGTACTGCTGCTGAGGAGCACAGTGGAGAGAATATTGCGAACGCAATACTTTCTACAATTATTGAACTGGAGTCATTCATTGGAGAGGGGGCAATGTCTGCTGTAGTAACAGACAACGCACGAAACATGAAAAAAGCATGGGAGCTGGTGACTAAAGAGCGCAATGCTATTGTTTGCTCGGGTTGTGGAGCACACGGAATGAACTTGTTGATAAAAGATATGATGAAGTTGGAGTATTTTAGCAAGGTGCTCAGCAACGCGAAAACCCTGACGAGATTTTTTAAGGTGCGACTGGGCTTGTGGTCGATGTTTAAAGAGCGGCAATCTCGGACGCGGAGGGCTGGAGAACAACGACGTCGACTTTCTGTGCCAGTGGATACGCGGTGGTATACGCACCAAAAGTGTATATCCAATGTTGTGCAAAATAAAGATATCAAGGCTGATCTATTCTCTAACCAGGCCATACTTGATCGATACGCTGGTAGTGAGTTAGATGAAGTTCTCGCGATTTTAAGTTTGCGTTCCTTTTGGAAAGAAGCAAACGCAGTTCTGGAGTTGATTAGTCCAGTCAATGATGCTCTCGCAGAATTTGAACACGATGACTGCTCCCCATCGAAGATTATCCATAGCTTTGATGTGCCACGTGCGCACCCCGAGTATAAGACGGCCTTACCAGGCTGTTCTAAGGATGTCCAAGCGCAAGTGTTATCCATCATTGACAAGCGGCGCAAAAAGATATGGTCGATAGAGTTGCAGCTTGCAAATTTATTCGATCAAACGCTTCCGAGGTCTCCTGCAAACTATATCGATGTTGTTGACGAGGCTGTTGCGTTAGCTAAGCGTGTTGGGCTTGTGATGGACGCGACGGAAAATATGTTTCATCGTCAGCTGGAAAACTTTGCGGTTGACAAAAAAGGACTGGTCAGAAGAAACACGCAAGAAGCATGCTAAATTCGAACCATTTAATTGGTGGAGTCTTCAGCAAAATGTCTGTGACCCAGTCAAGCTCTTTGCTAGGCGCATGCTATCCAGTCCAACTTCATCTGCATCGAGCGAACGCAATTGGAGCATTCACAGCTTCATTCATACCAAAACTCGAAATCGTCTGTCCCAGGAGCGGGTGAATAAGCTGGTGTTTGTTTACTGCAATTTGAAAGCGAAGGACACCAATCACCTTCTTTTTGACGTGTTTCCAGATGTGTGTGACGAAAGTGATTCAAGTGACTCGAGTGATGATGATAACGTGCCGCGTTCCCGTGATTACAACTCGCCTACAAGGCCCATTCCTCACCAAAATGTAGGGTCGAGTGAGTTTGTCATTCAACACTCTGGCGCAGAGAGTAGAAGGATGGAGCCAGCTGCGTTCTTCACACCAGACGTAAGGAGACAAAAACGAACGGCACAAAGATCTGCACCAGGTAGTGCTAGATGGTAAAATTCAAGTGCTTGTGAACGCAAATATAGCCCACAGATAAATCAAACTCTCAAAACACCCTTAAGCATTCCCACTTCGTCGCTGAGATCGTCCTCGTTCCGGTCCTGGTACGTCTACCGCTTTCGGCAACGCAGCCTCCAGCGATACGATCAGTCCAGTTGCATCGGCACCCGCAAGCCGTCTCCTTCGTTGTAAGCGCGGTCTCCACCACCCCGCGTTCACCTCAACTGCACGATATGATACCCATAGCACTGGCAGCATACGCAGTCATCTCCACTCGTTACAGGGGCTCTTAAACATCTCGGATGCGGGCACTTGTTGATGTGGGTGGTCGGCATGACGGACACGGATTTGCTCGCAGACGTTGTGGCCAGGTTGCTCGTATCGGTCTCCGTCTCCTCGCGGATCTCAGTCTCCACAGTCGTGCTCATCTTATCCGACTTCGTCATCGTGGTCTCCACCTCGGCCGACTTAACCAACTCACCGCCGGCGTTCGCTGCGCGTCGTCGTCTTCACGGTCTTCGTCCACGATGCTGCCGTCGTCGACCTCCTCGGACTGGAAAACATCCGTCGTCAACGACTCGTTGGGCACCGCAACAGCTTTCGTGCTCGAGCGGATGGCTCTCATGCCGCCGTACAAGGACGCAGATATTATGGCCAGGTCATCGGCTTCCGTCTCCTCGCGGGTCTTCGTCTCCATAGTCGTGCTCTTCTTGCTTGACTTTGTCTAGGTTTCCATCGTGGTCCTTACTTCAATCATCCTCGCTGCCGCTGGTTGGGGAGAAGTATGGACGGCCGTGGCTTGAGCTCTGAAGTGCCATGTCGGCGCTCACACCCAACGCAAACTCTTGGTGCAAGGTCAAGCTGACTTATCGAATGTCAACTTGACAATCGGAAAATCAGCTTTATACTAAATGTAAACTAAAATAAGCCTTATTTTATGCTGCCATCCCTAACCTAACGTAAATAGAGCAAACACAGACAGATGCCTGAAGCGAAAGTAATCCACAAGATGTTAATCAACAACATGAGTCGGTAAAAATCATAAGCCATCATTATTATTGATAGTGATGAATTCCAATTGACGGAGAATATCCTATCTCGAGAAAGTTATTCAAGAAAGTTACTGCGAAATCCTTGGGGTCTTGCTCTTCCCGATTTCCTTTAAGCTAGCTCATTTGAGCGGGGACTTTTGTCCTAAGAGGGTTGTCGCGGCATGCCGTTAATTCCCCGTCAGACAATTGAAGGTAATCTACGCACTTTGAACCTATGCCTATGGAGACGTATATACTAACTGGAAATTGTTATGTTTATGTCTTTAGCGCACCACCGTAGCTTAATGGAAAAGCTCCCGTAAGGGAAGAAGGGGGTTCTGTGACGTATTTGTGTACACAATACATGATTCGTCAAACACTTCATACGTCAATTGACATTGTCGAAAAACAGCAAACCACGTCATTTTGAGCCAATTAGAATGCAGGACTGAATTTGTCAATAATTAGTTTGTAGGCAGGATACAACAGAGTACGGCTGCAGCTAGCTAGAGTCAATAACTAAATCTCATTCTACAATTTGCCATCGCGTGTGCACTTCATAACATAGTAGCACTTGTCGACTTTGTCCAAGCCTTCGCGCTGTCCAAGACCTTCGCGTCAAGATCAAAACCTTCGAGTTTCTCCTACATCGTCATGGACGGATCCAGTATCCCTACCCCTCAAGCCTTCGGCGAAATGCTGCAGTTTTTTCGCAGTAGCAGTCACGCCTCCAAGAGCATATCAGTCAGCAAATAGCTGCTCAAAATGCTCGCTTCGAGACCCTCACGTCCAAGCCTCCAGCGGCTAGAAAAGCCGAGCCGCCCAAGTATCATGGAACGTTGAGTGAGGACCTCGAGCTGTGGTTCTTTACGATCGAACAATACTATGCTGACTACCATCCTCTGATGGTGGAGGAATCACCATCGTTTGTCACGATGATTTCGTACCATCTGGCACCTACCCCTATGAACTGGTATCGCCAGTTCGTAGCGAATTGCGAACGGGCGAACATAGTCTGTTCGTGGTCCACATTCAAGCACGCTCTTCGCAAGCTCTCCCTCCCCCTAATAACGAATACATGCTCCGTGAGAAGCTGTGCAAGTTGACGCAGATGGGCACACTACATGACTACATCGACGCCTTTCAGGACATTCTCATACAATGTCCAATGCCCATCTCAGCATTAGAAATGCGGTTCTATTTCCAACAAGGCCTCCGTAAAGAGACAAACAACCATCTCAGTGAACACCATCCAGCTACTTTGGAAGAGACCATTCAGCTGGCACTACGCTTCGACCATGGGCTGCAACGCCCGGCTCAAGCCTCTTCGGACTGGGAGAAGACGGCCACTTGCCACCGATGCAAGGCTGTGGGCCATATCGCACCGAACTGTCCAATCAAGTAGACCTCTTTTCAAAAGGAGGTCATGTGACGTATTTGTGTACACAATACATGATTCGTCAAACACTTCATACGTCAATTGACATTGTCGAAAAACAGCAAACCACGTCATTTTGAGCCAATTAGAATGCAGGACTGAATTTGTCAATAATTAGTTTGTAGGCAGGATACAACAGAGTACGGCTGCAGCTAGCTAGAGTCAATAACTAAATCTCATTCTACAATTTGCCATCGCGTGTGCACTTCATAACAGGTTCGATTCCTCCCGGTGGTATTATTATTATATGTAGTTATATTACTTTTTTCCAGGTCTACTACATTAATGAAATGAATTAAGGCGTGCGTAACCCCATGATCGCGGCGGTAGATGAACTGTACTGTTGGTATTATCTTCCTCAAGAAGCGCTTGAAAAGAAAAAAATGGGTGGATCTTCGTTGCTTGCTCGGTTGTCTCTCTCGAACCACGACGGCTATCGACGAGTGCTGCTTGATCCATATCCAGCAATATGAGGCCTTTGATGGTAGGCCGATCCGCGCTTGTTGTTCAAGGTGACCGGTTCTAGAACCCGAAACTGTAAGCGTGTATCATTTGAAAGCACCCACCAATGTCTATCGAAGTGCTCAGGTATGATCTTCAGCTGTCCATTTGACTCATAAATATCCACTAATTCATGAATGCATGGCCTGCCATGCGTCCGCCGAAATATACCTGAACATTGGGTTCGTTCGCCTCCACTAGTAACAAGATTTCGAGCTGCTTTCCAGAGTTTGCCCGTCTCGGTGAGAGCATACGTTGAGATCAACCGGACCACTGCTGAATACTGATCATAACGCAGTCTGTGTGGTGGTATTGTAGCATCTTTTGTAGACTGGTAGCTGATCGCCTTGGCCGCAGCGCTCCACCAGGGTAAAAGTTTCACAAACACGGTTAGCAGATCCCCTTTTGACGTTTCGAGCCATCGTTTTATCTTAGCGTGGGTTCCTTCTACCGTCGACGTGTCGTGACATCCAAAGTGCGCGTATCGGTCCGTCCAGCATTTGACGATCCGGGTTTTGTATTTCCACCAGATACGCTCTAAGTAATCTGCGGTAACACTGCTTAGATTGCGAAGAGCAGTACAATGTTGTTCAAACTCTGTTGTGGTTTCCGAAGCGATCGCCTCATAATACTTCGCCATGAAGACGTCGGTCTCTACTGAGTTTTGTTTCATCTCTCCATTTGGACCAGGATGAGAGAGTCGCACAGTCCCAAGATCGTCTTGAACACGTGCAAGAACATTGCGGTTGACATGCCAGCGGCACAATATCTTGGGTACACCAGGAAATACGGTATCACTTGCATTCATACACGCCAGGTCTCGATCTGTTGCAAATAGCCGGGGTAAGGGGATAAATTTGTTTCTGAGTAGTGACTTAAGTTGAGTGAATGCCCATGTGTAATTAGGCTCAGCTTCTCCGGGTAACCAGCACTGAGCGAGCGGGAGTACCTTGTTGAGCCCGGTGAGGACAATGATTATGCATAAAGGCCAATTGTGCTTGTACGTTTTGTACATACAGTCAACAACTACTACACCCTTGTAGTGTTGGGCAAGTTTCAAGGTGTCTGGGTGCGCCAACAACAGGTACTTAAGACGTCGCGAATCCTTATTGACCTCATACTTGAAGTGGAAGCCATGTTCAGTCAGCTTGCGAAAAAGAACTTCAATTGCTGTGTCAGTTGCTAGTAGGTTTCTTCGCTTAGCGTCCTTTACGTTGGCAATGTCCTTGAGAATGAAGAGCGAGCTAGTGTGCGTCAGTAAGAGAGTTGCGTAAACCTTCGAAACGGGAGCACCTGCTGCCGTTTGGTAAAAAATGAAATCGTTCACCGTCGACACTTCAGGCGCTGTGCTTTGCTGCGTGCTGCGTTGTCTATGACCAACGTGTACTCGAACGTCTAAAGACGTTGAATGATTGTGCTTAATGCTTCCATTGCGGGTGTGTGCAATTTCCATGGGCCTTCAGTATTGTTCTCGTCGACTGCCACAATCTTGATACGCATGGGACATCCGATTCGTTTCGACCCACGCATCGTTCTAACACGATCCTCTTCTCGAAGGTGACGAGTATTCTTTGGGTTTCCACTTCTATCACAAGCGAATAGTCTTGTTCGGATGTCGCCATTCTTGTTCCCTTCCACTTTTTGTCTAGATACCTTAAAATGTCTGCCTTTAAGATTACAATGAGACAACGACTGGTCGCTACGAATGCACATGCATGTATTTATTCCTACTACTATTAAATTCGGGGTCGCACGATGCATATCTTAAAATATGCCGTGTCTATTAATGTACAATAGCGATACTTAAACTTTGTAAATATGGGATACATTGCCATGTCCTACCAATCCATGCCCAGATTTCCGAGTTCGCAGTGGCCATAAGGCGACAAGAATAAGTCTGGTGCACATCACATACAGTTGTGCACCTCCAATTCGGCAGGGCGGACCATATCAACAGTGCCAGGGCATAAGTGCACAACGTATAGCATAAAATAAACGCAAATCTGGTGCACTGATATTTATTTTGTTAGTTCAGTAGAAAATTTATGTTTAATTTTGGAGACGATGCCTGTGTGGCACCAACAATTTCTAATAGTCTTTGCAGATATGTTGTTCCAGCCTTCAGACAACCACTTCATGGCGGAGTAAACGTCGACCGGTGTGTAAGGAACACCCTTGTAGAACGAGCAAGTTCTGAGTGAGAATCTGACTTGTACTTCACGCACAAAGACTGCTTTTGTGCTAGAGTTAGCGACATGTAGGAGGAAGGGCGATGTCCCATTGTCTTTGGCGGTAAAAAAATAAAGTGTTTATTTGTATGAAGACGTCCGCTCCAAAATTTAAAATCAGATCGATGCGGCGTGTTACCCCTCCCCGAGGAGGGGGAAACCGTTGAGTTTAATCGCTAGGGTGGTGATGGGCAAAGGTAATTGCGCATCCGATTCGCGTAATCATAAAATCTGGCAGGGTATCGACTGATACCGGTGCCGAATTGGTGGTGCACGACTGCAACACAGTTGAGGATCAATACCAGGATGAAGGGGGGGGGGGAGTATTTGCCAGCAGGATTCTCACTTCCAGTATTTACAGTTAGCTCAGCAATCACTCTGTGGCCAACCAATTAAACCGATCGTCTACATGTACCATAACTGTGCTAATTACTTGAACTTCAAATTCTTTCAGTGTGAACTGAGATGTTAAAGTTGATCCAAAACAAGGCGGTGTGAGTGGGTGCGAGAAGCGTAGCCGTACCAAACCCGAGCGGGTTGTCAGTTGATGGCCCCCTCAAGGTTTCCGTTTGCAGTCCAAGCGAATGAGCTCACCAGCGAACTGATCCGTTGTACCGTTCTGTTGGGCTGCCTCATAACCGGAGTCGGACGTTTTACGCGGGTTTTAGTTCAACCTAAAAATTTTCTGTCACATATTGTCTACCAAACATGTAATTTGAAATCGTCGTCGTACGTGAATATTTAGATGTACAAGAAAAAAAATAAAGGAAGTGGAATTAGTGTAGATTAATGCTGCGATAGTATGCTAATATTAACCACCTCTTATGATCATCCCAAATGATAGCCAGGACAACCACACATTGCACCGTTCGTAGTTTAATAGTATCACTCCAGGCAACACAAAATTTAACTATCTATAAAGGTCAGTCAGCATCCATACATTTAATGCGGTATTACACGTACGAAAAAGACTGTGACCAACGCCTACGAGACGGACCTAAAAATGGGTAAAGCGACGATGTTTTCAACACTGAGAGCTCATTACGGCGATTACACCGACGGACAGAATGCAACGGTCACTTTCCCGTTTGTGCAACAACAGGGCAATAGCAGTTGTCTCTTTTTTATGTAAGAATTAAAAAAAACAGTTTTAGGCAAAATTAGGAGAAAGTGTATTTTGCACTAAAAGTTGGTTTTGAGAGCCTTGTTGAACGCACTTGTGGCTGTGTCCGCTGCGATAGATTCCCACGCGGAAATTGCACGTTTGATCGTAGCAAGGTGTTTTTCCTTAGCTGTCGTTGCAGTAGTGCTCTCAAATAGCCACAGAGCCTTCAGCTTAGCCTTCAACGGCCCCATGATACCAACATCAAGGGGCTGGCAGACCGAAGTTGCGTTTTTTGGTAGTGGCTGAGAGGCAGCGACTCGCGTCTCTTGTCTTTCATGAATACTACTAGCTCGACCTTGAATGGGGTGATCTCGGGGCGGCCAGGCGCCCGGTACAGCGTTTTCTCACTGCCTCTAAACGCGAAGATGTCTTCTTTCTCCCGCCACGATTCTAGCGTCCTGCGAGGGATTTTTTTGGACTCTAGCAGCCACGCGGGTACCTAAACCTAGTGTAGCGAGCAGAACATCCCGTTTTTGCTTCATTGAGTAGTGCATTCGACGCTGCTTGGGGGCGGAGAAAACCTCATCGAGGAGGCCCTCGATGGCGAGCTCTTCTGGCGGCGGTGGTGGCTCTGACGGGGGGTCGGGGGCTGCCTCCATTTTAGCGACTGACTGGTTCAGATTTAGCTGCCGTGCAATGCGGCGTTTTCAATGATTTGATTGGCTAATAAAAACGATTTGCGCGTGCTGCTGCACGCACGCGCCTGTTTACGTTTGGTTTTGCTGACCGTTGCATTCTGTCCGTCGGTGTTATCACTGACCAAACTTCAAATTGAAACACAAAATGCCCCCAAGACGAGGAGCGTAGACAAACAATTTGAAACCTTGCAGATGGACAGCTCACGACGGGGAAACGGCGGACGATGTCTACAAGCTATTGAAGCTGAACACGGCCGAAGACACTATTTGAAGAACCCATTTGGTGCATACCTGGATCTCCTACTTTACTAGGCTTGGAAGGAGGACCCATATGATCTGTTGCTGCTCAAGTTGAAGGCTAATTATAACGAAGATGCTCTAGCTATTATAACCTGCGAATTGCTGCAAAGGCAGACCGGAGTGCGCATAGAGTTGCTGAGATGGTGGCGCACACACAACTACAAAACTGGTTAAACGAGGGAAAGAAGGTAGATCAGGTCTACAACCTGCTACGACTTAGCGTCGATGACGGTTACACACAATAAGCAGTGGTTATCATGTTGTATACGGGGGAGTAACTAAGGAGCGCCCAAGTTGGGAGCAACCTAACATAAATAGAGCAAACACATGCGCACAGATAAGATCTTCTTATCAAGATGTGTGAGAAGATCTTAGCCGTCTTATTAATGCACATAACGTAAACATCTTACAGTGACATTGGACTTTGGTTGGTTTGTTGTAATTTTCAAGGTACGTGCACGAAACGTAAACATATCTTACAGTTATTAATAGCATGGACCTTTCAAACCAGTACTTTGCATATTTTACTGAAATGCATCGGTGAAAAGCGTTGCCAACATGCGGTGTCAGTATTCGAGAATCATCACCAAATTGATATAAAGATGTAAGCCAAGCGTCTTCGCCAAGCCTCTTCGTCAAAGATAGTCTGTTCACGCGTTTGGGTATGCCCTAGTAAACGCATTGAGAGACAATGGTGATGCGTGTGCTTCGTGGTTGTCTATTTGTATAGGTAAACTTGCTGATAGGAGTAGGAAACAAGACAAAGAAAGCGAACACAAAACCACTGGATTTACCAAGCCCCCTATCGACCAGAGTGCTACACAAACCTAAATGCAACGACCCACGGTGTAAAGCAGGCAAAAAAGTATATACTACGCACTGAAAATTATTCCGATCCAAGTTCATGTAAAAACCAGTTACCCACCTACTTTTTAGGGGATTCTACAATGTATGCTTGCTGCTCTTGGGTTAGTTGCGAGTGTTTTGTCCGTAAGAATATTTTAATTTAAAGATGAGAATTTTGGAACCAGTCACACTTCAATTATTCGATATATCTGACTGCGATACGAACCATATCCAGTGCAAATGTAAATACCTTTTTCCGCTTTCCTATATCGCTAAACCGTAGTACGTATGCATGGCTTCTTATGAATCTTTCAAGGTAAGAAACCATTACCAACTTGGTCATTAAAACATCGCTACTAAGATTGGTTGCTTATCTAGTGCAGGAGCGCTTCCACGTCTTTGGCGTGGTTGCAGGTGAATGCATGGCTTTTCATCCGTGGGTCATTGCTTGAGGCAGGTGTTCACATAAAAATCCTACTGGGATGTAAAATTAAAGTGCTCGTACTTGGCGATAGTGAGTCGAAGATGGCTACGAATTTTTAGGCGTCAAGTGATATCTTCCGCTTCGGCAGTAATTTCGCTGTTGTTAATCTGGTGCGTGACGGTTATTACGTCGCAACTTTGAGAGAGTCGTGGCGATCGACGCGTTCTATAACTCGACTTCGCCGCCTCAACTGTTGCTGTTTAAGATAATGGTTGGAGAGTTTCTTCCAGTAACCGACGAAGGACTGTCAAGCTTTTCGAAATAGCCAGGACTGTTGGATTGGGTGAAACAGTATCAGGGAACGTTAACCTTCGTAGCTCCTCCAGCAGACGCCTCAAGTTTCCAACAGCAAACAATCCCACTGAAGCACTCGTACGACAAGGACAGTGTGAAAAATCTGAGTGATATCAAAGAAGCGAAGAAGAGGTTGCTAACTTGAAGTGGTGTTTACACGATCAGGGATTTGCGCAAGTGCGTGAAGGAGTCGAAGGGGCCGATTGCCAATATGACGCTTTAATTTCTAAGCAAGCAAATCCACCGGTACGATCCGTTAAAGCGAGATGTCTATGCTGACAATATATCTCGATTCGAGTGGGAGTCAACTCTTCTGGAGTTGTGGGACGAATGAGTGGGAAAAGTTTTTCAATCTGGATTACGTTGTGTACATACAAACTCGAGGCCAACATAACCGCAACACTTCAATTCAACTCAGTGTTTTTGTAGCTCTTGTACGACGTCGTCGCTAGTGAAGTCATTGATGAATAAATACAAGTCCAATATCACGAGGCGATTTCTTAGTGACAATAGTACTCGAGATGCATAGCCTTACACTTAAAATGATCCAATTGAAAAGTGAATTCCAAGAAACATTGAAGAACAGTAGCCTGTACCAACATTGGCCCACCAACATTCAGAATCGTCACATCGAAACTGATTGCATCGTATTACTGTAGCTTTTGGTGCGAGCATTGAGGACTTTCATTTTTTTGCAATATATATCGCATGTCATCGTTGTTCGCGCACCAAATTCTACAAATCCTTTGGAGAGAGAACGCCTTAATAAAAAAAAAGAACGTAGAAAAACTAATACATGTTTTCCGAGCACACAAGGTAGGATACATTTCCAGATGTATCCATGCCAGCATTGCGTTTTTTTCTCGAGAAATTATATAGATTGTGGGCAATTTCGCAAACCGTAAGGGATCGTCTGCATCAAATTACAAGTAGATGCGATAATTACTTTGTAAATAGGCAATAAAGATGTTTGAGTTCGTATAGTACCACAGTTGCAGCATGACCAGAGGCCCACAGGGTCGGGGTGTATACTTCATGCTGAAAACCTAGATTCCATAGTATAGTTTCATGTATGTCGCTCGAAGAACGCTTGAACCAAGAGTGGCTCAGATAAAGTATTCGTTGAAGATATAACCATAAACCAGAGAACTTAAATGTTGATAAGATGTTCGGTTAATATCAGTTGTTTAGCGGATTATTAGTATTAGGGATAATAGATACTAGACCCAACTGATTATGGCAGGCGCACACTATTTCCGTCTCTTGGTATTCACATAATTAAAATAGAGAGAGGACCGTCGATCTATGATACCCATTCATTCAAAGATGTAATTTGAAGATGAAATGGCTATCAATCAACAATTGAGGTGTCATTCCTCAATTTTCCTCGCAACCCTCAAGCAGTTTTTCAAACACATGAGACTCTCGCTCGTCTTGTTCTTAGCATCTGCTGCTATTTTGCTCGACGGTGGCAGCGCACTGTTTCCAAGTGCGGACGTTAACGAAGCGACCACCCCGAGTGCGCCTGGGAGAGTTCTTCCATACTCCAGGAGAACGCTTCGCACTCACGAAGTTGATGACGCCGATAATACTGACGAAGATAGAGGTTTTAGTATTCGTGGTTTGTTCTCTGGAGGCAAGCTTGATGGAGTCGACCGCAAAAAAATCAAAGCGAAGGTGTTGAATAATGTGCAGCTTTACGACACCATTCTAACCGACGCGGTTAAACGTTCCGAGACACTCGCGGTTTGGAAGCAAATGGGATATTCGGAAAAAAGAATCAAAAAGGCAATGAAAGAGCTCAAAAAGGAACCTGAGGACATTGAAACCATCTTGGCCCACTACAAGAATTTCGAGTTGCGATTGGAATAAATGAGAGACGGGGTGAACGTGCCGTTCAGCTCCGAGTCATGTAAACACTAGCGCCCTAACGTTAGAGGAGGCTGCAGAATTCCATGGTTTTGCTATTACCGTTGCAGCCACCATGCGTATCTCAAACCAAGTTCTTGGCATTTCTGCAAGCACTAATAGAAATGTTTCAACAATTGAATTTCCTTAATCGATGTTTGATCTACCAAGAGCTTACCATCTCGCTGTTCTCCCTGGGACGATCTATTCGTGTAATTTTGTGTGCATTTGCAATCTTTTGTGTACGCTGCTCTGCCATCGCATTGCTTGAATTTACCAGTGTCAAAGTTACAACTACAAAGTATCACACTTACATAAATGTAGTTAAAAATACGACGCTTCGCCGCATACATGGATATCCTAGTCTTCTTAACTCGTACTGTCAGATAAGAGGTCTACACTATTGTTGTTGCAAACAGTTGCTTATTATCTACAAAGTGTATGGATACGAGGATGTTCGTGAAAAGTTTCGAGGTAGTCACTAAAAAAAACGCGTTCGCCTACTGCAATGAACACACGGTGGGAGATGAAAACGGTAAATTAAACATTGATTTAATCCCTAAAGCATAACTTAGCTTGTATTAATATCTAGGTGGATACGCAGTGGTTCTAAAGGTGATTGCATTGCCTTGTATTCTGGACTCGGGATGTTGGGTACTTTACTACCATTTTTCGGTGACAGTTCGACGGATACTTCGATCGGAGTATCGTCGTGAGCGAAGAAGCTTTCGTGCAGCGGGTGTGTCTTGGGGTTGAACACAATGCACAGTACCAGCGTGGACGAGTTGAGTGCGATAAAGAGGATGTTGGGCGCGATAATGATCCAGTTGGCTGTCAGCGTGCCGTACGTGAACCACATGATGTTGTTGGCCAGACTGGCCATCACCATGTGCGCATTAATGAAGGCAGCAGACTTATGTTTAAGCACTTGGAACAGCTTCTCCATCGGCGCTGCGTACAGACACACGGCCGTCGCGTCGCCGATGTATCCCATAGTCTTGGCCACTTGTGCTCGTATTTGACCAGTGTAGCCAAAACCGCCGAGGATAGCATAGATCGACAGGATAATGATCACTATCAACGCTACGGCAATGACTCTAGCGACGTATCTGTGCTCGGTTGTGTATCGCCAGTAGATTGCGACGTAGGTTAATGCTGCGAGGTCGCCGAACGTGTAACAACTGAAGATGGGGAAGTAGTTTTCGCCCAGATAGCCGTACATCATCCAGACGTGGGAGTTGATAGCGAGCATGACGAGAGGGATAACGGAGGCGACGCCGACGTGCTTCTGCTTGTGAATTTGACGCATCAGGATGGACGGACTGCAGATTAACGCCAACGCACCGAAGGCGGCGAAGATGCGGACGACGAGGAGAACCGTGCTGTCAACCATTGTACATCAAGCGTATTTGTAAGCAGTGAAGCTTGTACCAAGTAGGAGCAGTTGAGTGTTTGATGGCAAATTGTTAACTGAGCGCTTCTAGAAAACGACAAAAGGAGCGACTGGCGAGGAAGAGCGAGGTCAACTTCAGTTTTTCATCATGCGGTCTGTCTCATGTGGCTTCATCATAACGAAATGTTTAGATGCAAGTCAACACGACGCGAAAACAGGGCGTGAACGAGTTCAAAGCAAGGGCAGCGCACATCGAGAGATCAGGCTAGATGCATGATTGATACGGTGACAACACTGGCGTCACTACAATATTTACTTATGGAGCTGTAAACCTTCTCGAATTTCGTGGGAACTTTCATCTACACCGCTGACTCTGCCAGACATGGCAGTATTGACCAAACACCGATAGCTTCTCTAGGCCCTCTGGGTCAGGGTGGGTGGGGAGCAACAGTGGCATTCTGAGTGAGCCATGCACCAATAAAGAACAGGATTTGTTAAGTACAACTACTAGTATCCTATGGAAGGCAGACTGGTGTCTGGAAGTGCCTAAGTAACGCTTATAAAAAATAAAATGTGTATACTACAGTCTATGCAGTACATAAAGTACAGATTGAATATATTTGTCTTGCATTCGTCCGAGTCTTAATCCAGCTCATAGAGGAGTTGGTTCTGGAATCTTGCCGCAGTAACTGGAGCTGGTGGTGCGGGTGCATCGGGTTGCATGGCTTTCTGAGCCAAGTCAGCATCTGAGACCCCATTGTTCTTCTGAAGGATAACCACCATGTTCTCACTGGCCACGTTAACCTCAGCAGTAGACGGATCGATATCAACTGGAAGCACTGCAACCTCCAATGCATACACCTTCTTCTCATTGTCAGAGAACTCCAGACACAACGACGACGTCGATGGAAACGAAAGTTTCACACTCGCCGAGTCAATCCCTGCCACATTCACAATGTAGGACAAACACATCGGCGTGCCATGCGTCTCGAAAGGCGGTTTAATCACAACCTTGGAGCTCTCAGCTACCGAGTCAGTCACGGTCTCTTCTTCTTCATCACAGCTCTCAAGTGGCGGCAAGTCGTCGTACATTTCGTCCTTGATAGCCGCTGGCTCCGTCACCGCAGGGGTTTGGCTTCGTCGCTTGTGTGCCACTATCTGTGGGTCATTTTCTACCATTAATGCTGTCTCTCTAAGCATACGGAACTCGTCATTGCTCTCTTTCTTCGGCTTCGGCACGTGCACTTCAGTGGTTTCTGGCATCTCAACCTCACTCTCACTCAAATCCTCTTCTTCTTCATCATCCTGAACGATCAAAGACACCGGCTGTCGCTTCAGCTTAGGTGGAGGTTGAATGGGTAAAGTGACTACGAGTTTGTGCTTTTTGCGGTCAAACTTGGCACTTCCCTTATCCTCAATCACTGGAAAGGGGAGAGTTAACTCCAATGGCTCATAGTTACCAGGCACATTAGGGCTAGCCGACAGACGCAACATCTTCTCGCTTACATCCAAGTCCAGACCTTTGGCACTTGAAGACAGGGGGAAGTTTATCTCAACGACGAGCTCTTTGGGACGATAACGATCCTCAGGAACCTTCTTGTCTGGATCTGCTTGCATGTGGTGGAGAAGCTCAAATTTTCCACGATAAATAAGTTGATACTCCATCTTCTTCTTGTCAGACTGTTGCTTTGTATCAAGCTGGACACTTGACACTTCCTTCATCAATGCAGAGCTCTTCTCCGTCTCTTCTACATGCGTCAATTGGCTCAAAACCGATTTATCAGCGTTGTTTTCCACACGTTTTACCGTCTCAAGCGGCCTCTTCTTGTCTCCATCATTGCTCGTCTCTTTAGTACCTTGACTCTCTGTTTTCTTCTTTGTTGTAAAAGACTCTGAACCTTCTCGTTCTTTCCGTAAACACATGGTAACAGGGACCCCAGACTTGTAGACCACACCTTTGAGAACATGGCAGTTCCTTGTTAATAGGGCGCTTGGCTTGCGTCTTGACTCTCTCATTATCGGCTCAACGGCATCCAGAGACGTACTAATGACCATACGTCTGTAATCTGCTCTAGTCATTGAGAATTCAACAACTCTTGGATGGAAGCACACGTCGAAAGTGGGTACACTAGCTCCTCCTTTGTCTGGCTCGAGTCTCTCGGGTCCTAAAGAGTAGGGCAAGTTCCAGGACGTTCCCTGTTGACCAGAAGTCACTCGAGTGCTCGAAGGTGGCTGCATCTTGTCACTGCTGCATACATTAATGAAGATCTTGTGGGTATTATCCCACTTGGTCTTAACCACGAAGCCTGGTGTGGGTTTTATCAATTGTTTATCGGTCGGAACCTTCTGCTCGCTCTCGAGTTGGGACAAATACCGTTCAGTTTCTTCGCGGTTACGAGGATCTGAAATCTCCTGCATGTACTCGTTTAAGAGAGACCGGAACTCGGGGTCTTTCATGGCCGACAAGAACCTGGTCTGCTCTTCGGGCGTCACCTTGGGCTCCGCACTGCGTTGTTGCTGCCGCATGGCCGCCTCGAACAGTGCACTCATCTCAGCTTCATCTGGAATGTCTTGGTTGTCGCTGGATGTGCCTGTAGCGCGAGATTTCGCGCCTTGAACACCTGCTACCATTGCTGCAGAGTGCGAATGCTTGACTGGATCGCGACTCTTTGAATTTTATAGAAGTGGTGTGGGACACATCACAGTTTTAAAAATAGAAACTGTTTTTTTATTTAGAAACATGTAGCCATGTGTGATATATTGAAGCTGTTGGGCATTTAAAGACGCGCGAGGGCATGCCAGCGAAGCAGGAGGAACTCGGTACGCTATGATGCTGCTTTACCATTGTCCGGTTAGTATTTAACGTATGTCTTGCATTAGTAGAAGAGCGATTCGCACAGGCGATGAGATTCGATGACGAACAGCAAAGAGAAGAAAGTTATGGAGCTGAAGATGGCTACGCTCGTAGTGAAGGTTACGAAGACGATGAAAGACAACAGAATCAAAGACGTCGACCACTAAGTCGCTCAGCGTCTTCAACCTCTCGCTCTACTACATCGTTCGATGATGGCCCTATGCTGTACTCAGACTCGGCCGCTATCCAGTCCAAGAAATACATGGAGCGAGACCAGGTGAAGTTGGCACTGGAGCAGGAAGAACGTACTCGTCGACTTAACAAGATACGTGCACGTCGACAACATTTGGAGAAGTGGACGCAGAGGATGGCGCGCTCCCCGTTTCACGTGAACCTCGTAGCCGACAACGAGCGGCTCGATGAGGAGCATCGGCTTCGAATGATGGAGCGTGCTCGTCGTGAGCGAGAGCTCGAGCGACGAGCCAAAGAAGCCAAGAGCGAGGTGATCTTGAAGGCTCTTACAGAGACATCAGATCTAGAGCTGCTGCGTCGCGAGAAGCGAGCTATTATCGACGAAGAGAAGCGACTGAAGGCGCTGCTGGACCTCGAAAAGACTAATTCTCACCGTAAAACGGACCTCCTGGCCGCTCGCAACGCGGAAAAGCGTCGTCACCAGGAGAAAGAAGAGTATCGGCGTCGTCAGCAACAGCAAGAGCTTCAAGAACGCGAACAAAGATACAAACAACTGCTTAAAGAAAAGCTGGCGTTGGAAGACTAGCCTTCAACTGACATCGTGTTTAATACATTTTATGATATAAAAACGTTAAATTACGTGAATTCATCTCCAAGTGTATTTTCCTTAATCCTGGACTGAGCTACGCTTGACCACGTAGACCTGCTCGGCATCCAGCGTTACGACGTAGTCGTACGTCGGGAAGGTAACTATAGACAGTTTACCACACAAAACGATGTTAATATCCTCACTAACTTGCTCGAGCACTTAAACGTACTGGTCATGCGCTGTAGCTCCTCCTTTTGACTGGCGTCCAGCACGCTGCTTGAGTCCTGCAGCATTGAGTAGATGGTTTCTGCTGCGATCTCCCCGGAGGTTCCTCGTAGTTCACCCGTAGCGGACAACACTTGGCCGTTGATATCCAGCACAAGCGTCCCGGTCTGTCCGTTAACAGTTCTCAAAGCCCCGGCATCCTGCGTGGCGTACAAACGGATTCAGAGACGGAGATTCCGGTTAGATATACAAGATCGATTGACGAATGTATTGAGGGTGGGTCTGTGGGGTGCGGATGCCTAGACGCAGAGATAAAGCGATGTGAACATTCACTAGGAGAGCATGCAGTACCATTTTGAGTCGAGATTTCTGAACAGAAATGTGATCAAAAGTTTAATAGAAATGTGGACCACATGAAGTGATGTATACATTGTATACAAAACTTCAACGAGAGATGGCTACAATTATAAATAAACGACAACAGCAGCAACAAGAAGCAAGCATGAAGAAGGTGAAGGGATGCTTGGTGGTGCCACGGGACGAGAATTGGTTGGAGTTGCAGCAGTTGTTGCAGTCGATGGGCGACGAAAACCCGTCAGTGAAGCAGGGAAAGAAGCGTGGCGATCGTCTGGCATCATTTCGTGTGATGCGCGACAATTTGATGCATCAAATGGAGTCGATCGTGCTTCAAGAAGCAGAATTAGGCTCAGCATTGGAGCTATTGGACTACACAAAGCAAAAGTGTGACCAGCAACACGACGCCATTGTGCAGCGCCTTGAAAACTGCGAAGAAATGTTAAGATCTTTAGAGGATGGAGCAACAGAATCTCTCCCTATCGAGAGCTTGTTACGTGAACAGGAGTATGCTAGATGGACACAAACCAAGGAAATGGTCACGACTATTTTACCTCAAGTTCTAACTCGACTAGAAGACAACATCGATCTGAATAACGCCAAGATTCGAGACGTTCGAGACAAGATGGAGGAGCTGCGAGCGAAACGTCTCGCTCTACGTGAAGAGATTGCAGCCAAAGAAGAAGATATTGCCTTGATGCTCAATGATAAAGCCATCTATTGACATGTATACACCCGGAACTCAGTTAAACAGATGGTGCTTGTCCCGCTTCCGCTTGCGCATCTTCTTCTTGGCCACGTCGATGTTGCGCTCCTCCCACTTGCTTTTACTAAGTTTCACAGGTCGGTTGCCAATATACTTCCCGTTCATTTCACGCAGAGCTTTGGCGCAGTCGAACGGGTCGGCAAAACTAACAAACCCGTATCCACGGGACTTGTGTGTCAACTTGTCCCGTACCACTCGAGCGCGCTGGAACGAATTGTATTGGGAGAAACTATGCGCTAGCAGCTCGTCGCTCACCTCGTTGCCCAGATCGCCGCAGAATAGCCGGAAATCATTGTCCGGCCACTCTTCCAGTGTCGAGTCCTCCCACACTTGACCGCCTGCAAGTCGCAGATGTCGCTTGGGTTTCTTTGCGCCATCCTTTGCAGCGATACTGGCTGCTGTTCGCTTAGGGTCGTACGAATATACACTCTGCTGTCTGTTCATCATCTGCTGCTCTTCCATAGGCAGCACACAGCCCGTCTCCATATCCACACGAGGCTGCATCGATCTATAGCTGGAAGAGGTTAAACTCTTCGATGCGGTGGCTGCGAGTTCCCCCGTGGTGCCGACTGGGAACCCGCTGAGAGCTCCTCGATGTGCAGCCACATCTTCCAGTGTGTTGAGCATTCGCGGTCGTCCGTCGTCTATCTCTGCGCTGTCTTCAGCTTTCTTTACTGGAGCTGGACGCGGTGGAGCCATGTAGATCTGAGGCTTAGCCATGACGATCTCGGGCTTTGTCTTGACTTTTTTCGATGGAGGCTGGACATCCTCAACCTTGGCTTCGGTCTGCTTGTCGTCTGATGTGTTACTCTGCTCCAGGGACTGGATCTCCGCCTCGAAGCGTGCGAACTCGTCATCCAGGTCCGCCATACTCGCGCCCTCCTTGCGAATAGCGTTCTTCTTCACTAGTGGCTGAAAAGAAGAAATGGTAGATTATGATTCGTTGAAAAAAATATGTTTATTCGTTTATTTCTATTGGCTGTAACTGTAGTGCGTTATTACAAATGTAGCCACTTTTTCACTTGAATGGAAGCGGTGCAATTATTTGGCAATCTGAGGCAAGATGGACGACATGGAGTATGACGACGCGGGCCACCGCGATATGGACGACGAGGAGGTCCCGGAGGAGGAGCTGGAGGAGGAAGTCCCGGCTGAGGACATGTACGAGGGCGGAGACGACGCTGGAGACCAGGATAACAAGGTGCAGGTGCTGGACGAGTCCCACAAGCAACCCAACGCCCACCGCATCACCACGCGCTATATGACCAAGTACGAACGCGCTCGTGTGCTAGGAACGCGTGCACTACAGATCTCCATGAACGCTCCAGTTATGGTGGACATTGAGGGCGAGACAGACCCGCTCAAGATCGCCATGAAGGAGCTGCGCGAGCGTAAAATCCCCATCATCATCCGCCGGTACCTGCCCGACAACTCGTTCGAGGACTGGAGCATCGACGAGCTCATTATCGAGTAGATGCAGGTAGACTAAGGAGGACAGGAATCTATACACGTACGTACATACACACCATCTTTTATATGCAACGCTTTATTGAGGAAAATAGCGTTTTGAAAGAGCATGTATTTGAGGAAGTCAAATGCAGCCATTGCCTAGAGTTACCGGTTCCTCGTCTTAGTTGACGGTAGTCTGTGAATCGCACGCCGTGCCGTAGTAACCCGGGAAGCACTCGCACTCTCCCGACTCGTAGTTGCACTTGCCTCGGCCTCCACAGTCGCGTCCTTGCTTTTGGCCAAAGGCGAGCAACACGTCGTCGCCACTAGGACATTCCTTGAGAGAACAGTCGGGTCCGCGGTATCCCTGGTCACAGAAGCAGCCCATGTGCTTACTGGCGTCCCATGCAGCATACGTTCCTGGCGGGGTGGGTCTGCCAGCAATAATAGCTGCAAGAGTGAGGCAAATGCCGCGCCCGTTGCAGTTGTTCGGACACTCCGTTCGCTCGCAGGCCTTGCCTTCATACCCTGCGAAACACACGCAGTGACCCGTGCCGTAGTCGCAAAGCCCACGGTTCGAGCATTCGACCAATGAATGCGCGGTATTCGTCGCGGTAGGCACTTGAACCCACGCGTCGCCGAACGGACACGTACGTAGCGAGCAATCGGCGCCTTTGAAGGCCGGGTATTTGATGCTTTCGGTCTCCTGATCCTGTCGCTCGTAGCACGTGCACTTGTCGTTCTTGCCGCATGTTCCCTGTGCGTTGCAGCCGTTAGGGCAGTAGGCGTTTACGTCCTCCGGCAAGGTCAGTAGTGCCAGCGTTCCAATGTAGAAGAACGCCACTTTGGACACCCCCACCATGGCGTCGTCTTCAGAGCCTCTTTAGGTATCACCGATTGCTGTGGTCTGTTGGTGCAGTGTAGCACAATGAGCAGCAACAAGTACTGCTCCAAATTGCAGCGTGAAAGATCCCATGAGCGCTTGCTTCTAGCAACCGTCGGCCGTGAATCGCCGCTGTTCCGACCCTTCAACATTGGTATCTTTTGCTAAAAATAGACAGCTGTCCGTTAAAAATTCAAAAACTATTTCAAAAAACACAAAAAGGGTTGTTTTGGGAAACTCTTAAGCAACCCAGGTTTTTTTTTAACGAAAATGGGCGTTGGATGGCAAGATATTTTCCACCAATCATGCATCAACGAGTTTCAGCGAATCACCGCTCAAGTAGTGACACCCAAGAACGAGCAGCTTTGTCTAATACGATGGCAGGCAATGCGGACGTGGTGGAGATTTTCGAGTGCGAAGGCAGCTTTTCCTTCTTACGTGAAGCCCACCGCTTCGTATTTAGAATCCACAGCGACAGCAGCCTTCGCGTTGACATCAAACCAGTCTCAACCGCTCCATCCATTCTAGAACAACCACCAGTTGCAATCGATCATGACGAGACTTCCGTACGAGGAACCATTGAAGACATCGACGATGTAATGGAAGAGGAAGAATACCAAAATGCAAGAGAATCCATTACAGAAGACCCAGAAGAGGAAGAAGAAGAGACCGTCGCCAAACTGCTTGCATACGACGGACGTGCATTGGCTGAAAGACCGCCTGAAGGACAAATGGATACACAACCGATGTGCTATATGGTTCACTTTAAGATCGTGCAATGGGGTCGAGGCGCACAGGGCATGTGGTCTCAGATCGTCAAGTGTATCGCTCGCCTTACACGACAGCAAGGCTTGTCAGGACGTTTTGTGGATATCCGAGAGAACGTGGACGACGCGCAGGAGTTTGTATTGCAGCCTATAGCACACAGATTAGAGGCACTGGACAATCCATTGCACCCCTTGACTCCTGGACACTACGAATTACAGGGCATCACGATCGCAGAGAACACATTTGTATACGAATGCGCTATAAACCTCACTCTACAGCCCAATGGAATGATGTCTGGTACCTCTCGAGAGCTGCCATTTACTCAAGAATGTCCACTTGCTGGGATGTGGACTCGAAGCGGATTGAACTACCTGTTGGAGTACGAGATGCATGGCAATAAGCACACCTATATCTACTTTGGCACCCCATTTCGATCAGGTTTGCAGGGTACTTGGCAGAACTCCGAGCTGCGAGTGCTTGGAGGCAATCTCGACGCACGAACAAGTCAGGCTGAACGTGGCATCTTAGAGTTTCATCTGGTTAAGGCTGTTCGCGTCTGGAGTGAAGCATATCATAAGGACTACCCAGCGGCGTTCAGGGAGTGCGTGAAGCTCCTGCTGCTTGCGTCACATCGAGATGAAATCCTGCCCAGCCATTTATGGAGCTCTATAGTGTCGTATTGTAGGTACAATTGGTTCCGTAGTGACCTGCAGAATTCTCTAGCAGCTAGTGAGAGCAAACACAGTGATAACGAGTTCACAAATGTGCCGTGAAGCGCCATGTTTTATGTATCTAGCCATTTGGGTATGTTTTTTATTTTTATCCAATCCCATGTTTCTTCTCATAAAATTTCAACGAATCATATCGCTGCATTACGACTGTCCGTCTTACCCATTCGTACAATAATGGAGGGGACGTGGTGCAGTGGTTCGAGCAGCAAGAGCTCCTTCCCCACTAATATCGAGAGTTTCTCCTCTCGACACCAAGTCAACGAGACGTCTATGGTATCAATAAAACCACTGGAGCGCGTCTACGATGGCTGTGTGGGCGGCTTTTTATCCGAGAAGAGTCGCATCCATCTGCACATCGAGTCGGACGGCGCATTGTACGGCGAAGTCCGTCAGAAGCAGCCCAGCTCGCGATCTTTAGCCAACGGGAAGAAGCGCAAACGTCGCGTAGTTGCAGACCACCCGGACGGCATCGTCATAGCGCACATTGTGGGCAACGCACAGGTCGTTCCACCCGAAGAGGCGGTCGTGTCCTGTTCCAGGACCGTCAGTTGCGACGATACCACAGCAGCGGAGTATTGCTGCGCCTTTGAGATCACTAAGAGACTCAACCACGTGGACAGACACACACTCACGTGCCATTTACACGTCCCAGTGGCACCGAATGCGCCCGCAGTAGGCACGTGGAGGTTTTTCGGTGGTCGAAAGTTACTGGAATTGTCATCAACAGCGTCGACAAGCGATACGGGATCGGATCATATTAAAGAGGAAACGTCAGACGAGCACCAAGTGTTTCAATTGCAGCCAGTGCAATGGTATCAACGTCAACAAGAAGCCGAGGAGGCAGAGAAAGAGGCAGCCATGATGCAGTCTAGACCACCTTCACTGCTGTATCCTTTGCGACCTGGAAAGTATGAATTTAAAGGTTTTACGACGTATGACACGCCATCTGTAGCTGCAGCGGTTGTGCCGAGACAGAGGAATGGACGAAGAGGGCGTCCAGTCATGACGACGGTCAAAGATGAATGTCTAGTCACACTACGTCTGCTACCGGATGGTACACTGCGTGGAACGTCTCGAGAAGTGGTACAGCCACAGGTTTGCCCATTGAAAGGACGCTGGCAGGCTAATCGAGTGGCTTACGTGCTCGAGTATCATGTTCGTGAAGCTGTGGGTTACTTCCGATACTCTGGAGCTGTAGTAATTGAAGACGCTAAAACCAACGCTAACGGTAAGAGACGCGAGACTTTGAGTGGTAAATGGCACAATGTGGACGAGGGACATGCTGAAGGATACGAAGGAGGTCGCGGAGAGTTCGAATTAGAGCTCGTTAAAGTGGATTTTACGCCGGTCTCTACCAAGACGGAGAAGTTAGAGAACTCTAACGTTACTGTATCCGATTACAGTATGTCAGAACCCTCTGATCAGAACACTATCCCCGAAGCGGGCAGCAATGCTGCTAATGCTATCGAGATAGAAGACGACGATGCAATCCGTGCGTTTACTACTGGCGAGTACACGTTGTCTGGATGTGCTACAGACGCTGAGGGGTACGAGTACGCGTTCGATCTCCAGTTACAGTTACGGCCCGGTGGGAAGCTTCTTGGCAAGTGTAAAGAGCGCATTTTTCACCAGATAAGTCCCGTATTTGGACGCTGGAATCCCTCGTGTATTACGTATGGACAGCAGTATGTGGTGAAGCATGAAGTGGGCATGTACACTTACAGTGCTACAATGAGTAGTGACGGTGCTGTGGTTAGAGGATCTTGGGCGAATGTTGAGAAGGAAGCTGCTTCGGCTCCAAGCGAACACGGGACTTTTGCACTGATTTTGGTGAATTCAACGAGGCAGTGGAGCACTTTCAGTCACGCTTACTATCCGCCCAGGTTTCGCCGTGCCGTGATGACGACGCTTATGGCATCCGCTAGAACTCATAAGTTACCTGTGGCGCTATGGACCCATGTCTTTGCATTCTGTAGCGAAACGTGGTTCACTCTGTGAAGGAGAAAACAGATACAGTAGCAGCATGTACACAGTGTAGTAGACATTGCTTAATACTTGTAACATATGTGCCTGCGTCAGAGCTCACTTCAACTTGACCATGCTATTCGTTACAGTAACTCGCTGGCGACACCTTAATGAGGCTGTAAAATTTACATGCATTTCCATTAAATGGAAGTGCCATGGAAGTGATACGGTAAGCAGATCCAGGTAGTGACAAGCAGTAAGGGGAGCTATAGGTTAATGCAACGTCATCCTCGCTCAGCAATTATGTTATCTCTTTCACGCAAAACTCGAGAGTAGACTCCCGGCTTGTGTATGTGTATCCTCCACGCACTCCTGTACTGGCTTAGCCCATGAAGTTGAACACCACGAGGAAGAGGATGATGTTGCAGAAGAGGTAGTCGGCAAACGCGCGCTGCTCCGTGCGATCGCCAAAGTTGTTCTCCGGGTTGATCTGCATCCGCAGTGACACTGGCAACGACAGTTTTAAAACGTCAGCAATTAGAGTACTCGTTACAGAGTGGGGGATAGTGGACGCACGCACCGGCCAGTACGAAGACGCCGACGGTGCAGACGAAGCCGGCGAGGAACGAGTTGAACGGGAAGTTGCCGACCAGCAGGCAATAGATAAATTGGAGCACGCCGGTGGCCAGCACGTAGGCCAGGAAGCCGTCGATGAGTTTGATCTTCTTGGGTGTGGTCTTGTCGTACTTGGCGCACAGGTCGCCTAGGATGGAGCCCACGCCTGCGTCTGTCGTCTTCTTGGCCATGGCTGTGTGTGTGTGTCTGTCTACGATCGATAGAGGACCACGCTGCGAAGAGCGAGAACGGTTAGATGAGGACAGCGATAGCGAAGCAGGGCGTGCGTACCCGGTGGACTTTCAGCAGATAGAGTTCGACATGTGACGCGTGGCTGGACACACTAAGTACGAGCTGTAGTATGCTCCAGTTTTTGTCTCGTTTGAAAAAGCCTTTTACTTGGGAAAGTGCTTTTTGAAAGCACTTTTGCTCTTCGAGTGTGAGTCTGACTCCGATAACTGAAGAGCGAGTTTGAGCTGATTCGCTCTCTAACTGTAGGGACATTCAGATGCGGTCTGATTGGGCTGATTCCTTACAAAACATTAGGAATCAGCCGAATCAGACCGGATCTGAGTTTCCCTACATTTAAATAGCAAACATGCTCTTCAACTGTCTCACAAGCTCTTGAGTCTACAGTTGGAGAGTAAATCTGAGTCCGCATCAGATTTTCATCAGGTTTCTCAGATTTCTCAGATTTCTCAGATCCTTGAGGTCACGTCGGGCGCGTGCCTTCCCTCCCTTGTCATTGCAAGATCCGCCTGCACCAGCTTCTACTTCGTATCGACATGCTCGCCCGACAGGTAACTATCTGCTGACTGGCGCTTGGCCAGCACTGCATCGTGTCGGCATCGATCTCCGCAGTGCTCAGCCAGACGTGGCCGACCAATTTCACTAATCTATTCCGTCCACCGTTGTAGATCATCCGCCGCGTCGCCACGCAGACTCCGCGCAGCGCGGCCATGTCCACGCTGGTGGTGGCCGAGCACAACCAGTCGCAGATCTCCGGGGCCACGCTGGCCACGGTCTCGGCCGCCACGCAGATCGGCGGGGACATTACCATGCTGGTGCTGGGCAGCCAGGCCGGTCCGGCCGCCGAGGCCGCTGCCAAGGTGGCCGGCGTCACGAACGTGCTGCACGCCGCAGACCCCAAGTACGACCACTGCGTGGCCGAGGAGGTGGCCGAGCTGCTGGTGGCCGCCCAGAAGGCCGGCGACTACTCGCACGTGCTGGCCCCCAGCTCCAACGCCAGCAAGAACTACCTGCCTCGCGCCGGCGCCAAGCTGGACGTGGCCCCCATCTCGGACATCCTGGCCGTGGCCGATAAGGACACGTTCTTCCGTCCCACGTACGCCGGCAACGCCATCGCGCAGATCAAGTCCAAGGACGCGGTGAAGCTCATCACGGTGCGACCCACCGGCTTCGAGAAGGCCGCGGCCGAGGGCGGCAACGCGTCCGTAAGCCCGGCCCCGGAGGCCCCGACGGCCGGCAAGACGAGCTTCGTCTCGGAGGAGGTGAGCAAGTCGGAGCGCCCGGATCTGGCCTCGGCCCGCGTGGTTATCTCGGGTGGCCGCGGCCTTAAGAGCGGCGAGAACTTCGAGATGCTCTACAAGCTGGCCGACAAGCTGGGCGGCGCTGTGGGTGCCTCGCGTGCCGCCGTGGACGCCGGCTTCGTGCCCAACGAGCTGCAGGTCGGCCAGACCGGCAAGGTGGTGGCCCCGGAGCTGTACGTGGCGGCCGGTATCTCTGGCGCGATCCAGCACTTGGCCGGCATGAAGGACAGCAAGACGATCGTGGCCATCAACAAGGACGAAGAGGCCCCGATCTTCCAGGTGGCCGACTACGGCCTCGTCGACGACCTCTTCAACGCCGTGCCTGAGCTCACGGAGAAGATCTAAGCGATGTCGACACGCACACAAGTTGAGAAATATGACAAAAATTCCCATATTCATCGCAATAATGCAATTGCCAACCCTTTTTTTTATTCTTCGTTTCGGTTGGAGACGCACAAAATCTACGCTTGTTGCGCAGTGACAATAGGCACGGGAGTGGCTCCAGCTCGAGGACTACCATGCTGAGAGTACGAGCTTGAGGTCTTGGTGGTCTTCACCGAACGACTTTGAGTGTGTAGTTCCTCTCAACGTTCGCTTTTTTAGGCATAGCGTTGGTCGGCGTACGCGACGATGAGAGACAACGACAACAACTTGGAGCTCGACCAAACTAGTGCAATTCATACCACAGAAGGAATATAGTCGCAAAGGATGATTTATTAAAGCAAGGTTAAAAAACTTGCGCAACACCGTAATTCGCGGCTCGAATAGCAGCAGTGAAGAAGGTAAGCTACATAGTGAGTTGCGTGCTTGCAGCATATTGTATAGCATAGTCGATTTCGGCTTTGTAAATTAGTCGTGTGGTCGTTCTGGCCACGGTTGAGGTTGACAATTTTCTTGAAGAAGTACTTTGAGGTGGTCATTGGTGTCTTGCATCAGCTCAGCGTGCTGGAGCTAGTTTGCATCCGGTACAGCACCGTAGTGAGGAAAGCGTGCGGGCATGTTGGCAATTTCTTCTTCTGTCATCGGATCTTGGTCCACCGCTCGAGCATTGGCAGGAAGATGACGTGTATCTTGAAGAAGTCTCCCGAGTTGATACTTCATCTGGAATGTCTTTAGCCACGTCAAACACTCGCGTGCTGCAGGCCAGAATCCCCCGATGCACACGGCCACCACCAGATGCGCGATGGCAACAGCAGTAGTACAGACGGGTTCATTGCCTTTGATGAAGTTTTCCCAAAAGGTAGCCATTGTCTTCACTTCATCAACCACATACTTGCCCAAGCCAACAAAAAGTACTATCCCACCGATGAGACCACATTTTTCGGATAGCGTCAGTTGCAGCTGATCCAACGTGTCCATATTATTCAAAATAAAGTCGGTGTCGCGGTACCTCAACGCGTGTTCGAGAATCGCCTGCTCTTCTTCAGTCATTGTTGGAGAGAGGAGGACTGGGACGCCAGGAGATAAGTCCGAACTGGGGTGTCCAGCAGGGAGTAACTTGAATTATGAGCCACAAAGGGGCTCCATTTGTGAAGGATATACAAGGAAAATCGTGGCGCAACTGCAAGCCTCCCAGGAGACGCCTCAGCTGGAGACAGTTTCGCCGGAATTACTGTCTCCTGTGTCCAGAGGGAGGCGGTTTTACTGAGATTGTGGTCTCCGTCCCCATATCTCCAAGGCTATTCTTTTCTCCTTTTTTGATTGGCACATGCTGCTGCACAAAGCTGAGAAATATGAGACGAGCCAATTGCACCCAAGTGTCACCCAATTGTGACCAAATAGCCCCAACCTGCGCTCAAATGGTCACGAATGAAGCCCAACTGAAAAGAGTGGGACCTGGCTTGTATACGTATAGCCGGATTGCTGGTCACACTGGAACTGGCTGTCCGAAGTGTTCATGCACCACGAAGTTCTAGGCTACACTTGTACTTACGCGAGCAGAATCAACCAGAAAACGCATTGACTGAATTGGATACTAATGTATGCATGAAAGAAAACGTGTATTCAAAGTTAGCAGTAGAGCTAGCCTACAGACACATACGGAGATAGTAATGCATGTAGCAATACGCTACATTTGCAGTCGAGGAAGTAGTTTACTTGATAGAAATAATAGAAGTAGTAATAATAACAAACCATAACATCATACGTTGTCCTGCACGTTATCAACAAAGATGCGGCCAATGTTGCCTGGCTCCTCGGCAAACTCCATCATCCATCTTTTCAATCTTTTTGCACTAATCGGAGCAGGGTGTTCTTGCTTCTTCAGCCTGTTAACAAGGTTGTGAATGTCCTTCTCGGTTGGCATGCAAGATGAGTTGTCGTGAATGTTGGCCAAAATATTCTTCTTCTTTGCTCCAGCCCGGCGAAGATGGTCCACTGTAGACTGCACGTCGCGTTCCAGCGCTGTCCGGTTGTCCGGATACTGGTTATAAGTGTGTTTTGGCAACGGGTGGTTGTGCTCCAGACGCACGGATGTGAGCTTCGAACAAACTTTGGGCCATTTGGATCCACCACTTGCACACAGGCATTGATCTATGACAACAATTACACCCAATCAGACCAATCAAAAGTAAACCATTGAAAAGTACCCAGCTAAGCCGAATAGGGCCCAACTGAGCATAATTGTACCCAACTGAGCCCAGCTGAGCCCAACTGATACTGACATACCTGCGCGCCGCACTGCAAGGCTCTTGAGCGCTGCCGCTTTCTTTTCCCTTTCCCTTTGCCTTGTACTTCACTCCGTGTGTACAAATGAATGTTCTTGCGTAGTTGATCCATTCTTCTGGAACGAGCGGCGCCTTAGATCCTGACTCTCGAATATTTTTGTTTCTGTCCGCCACCTTGTTCTTTGTCCGAACTCGAAAGCTCTAGTAATATCAACCAGAGTTAATATACCGAAGGTTATAATCCGTAGCAGCGAATTCACTTCAGGGCAAGCTAATACCTGGTATGTCTCGGACTCGTACAGCTTCAGGTAGTCCTCTAGGTCGCTCCACGACTCGAATTGCGTCCTACGTGGTGGTGCCGCAAGAATACCCTCTGGTTCGTCGCTTGATCCAGCCACCGAGCTCCGGGGAAGAGAAGATTCTTCGGATCGAATGTGCTTAGACCGGCTTGTAGCGCTAGACGCTTCAGAAGCCGTTTCTACCCACTCTTCATCGCTGCTGGAAGCTAAACGAACGATGCGTCCGTCGTACTCTTTCTCGCTTGGAGAAGATGCTGGGGACGGTGGTGGTGCAGCCGACCTGACACGTAAATCCTCTGTCGCTCCTGAGCGATCGCCCTCCATTTCCCCCGTTGTGTCAGTGGCTGGCGAGGGAGGAATGGTGTATACTTCAGCACTATACACCCGACGGATACTTTTCGGGTTAGGGTAGATATCTGATCGACAATTGGCAACGCTCACTTGGGCGCAGCAGCCACTCTCTTTTTGATTAGTCAAAATGCCTTTACCTCCCATTATTTTGTTACTGGCGATCTACCACAAAACGTAACTAAAACTGCGCCAACGAAGGATCTTTTCTCGCAGTAAATTGCCATCAGGATACGTCACCGCTGAACTGATGATTTTTTTACGAGGCGTTGCGCCTTTCCGAGCGCTAGAAGGATACAGCACAAGGATATCCACAGGCTAAGCTTAATTTCTAGAAGAGCGTTCGTCTGTAGCATGTTTACTACTTCATAATAACAGCGCTCCATTTCTCAATTTGCCGCGGACGTTCACGATCAGCAGACCAACGGTTTGAGTCTCCAGCATAATAATGCATCCGCTCCCGCCAGGTATCCGCGATGCTATAAACTCGTTCGAGCCACCCAATGGCCTTCCTCCAAGACGAAACAAAAAAACCCATTTTTTTCCTATGGGGTTCGCCTAGTCAAAGCCCCTGAGTACCCGTCAGTGGAGGCCGCTATTTCTTCGCCGGCTATTTGGATGTGCTTGGCCGGCGATAATTGCCGAGAGAGTGGGGTAACATTTCCACTTTCCAGTGGCAAGACATCAGCAGCCACCAAACACCTCAAAAATCCCACGATGTCACCTCAGAGCGAACTGAAGCCTGCCAAGAAAAGCGCTGGTCCCGTGACGAAGAACTCGATCGTGTTCGTGGCTCGCAGTTATTTCGCGACGACCCCGCACGTGTTTATGTTCTCATGGAAACGCTGCGCATCGTTAACAATAATTTTCCCTATCGCCTCGAAGAATATGGTGAATCTATCTCAATTCGTGAGCTCGTCTTTAAGGACGGAATGCAAGCCATTATTAATGGAAATATCGTCAGTCAGTGGAGTTGTATGCATCGACTAAGAGAGTGATCGAGCTAATCCTAGTCGCGGTCCGCATAAGCAGCGCTCCCATGTTTACCGTCGCCGCCGATTTTGGACTTCGAAAGTGCAGACTACAAAGTATCTCGGATTGCGGCTTTATTTTATCGACGAAACCTTCAGGCTGAAGTCGATACTCCTCGGAACGCGACACTTCGAGCCACAGTACGGTGAGCGCAAAAGCGGTATCCGTGGTCCATTTCAGCGCTGGTGTGGTGAAGTGACAGTTAGCGTCTACAAACAAGAGGCTGATTGATGGGAAGTGACCCGATCCGATTCTGAGACTCGTGGTCGACGATGGCGCGTCAGCGATTACGTCATCATCTGTGAAGAGTACGCAATCATCGGAGTGGATCGACATGATGCAATCATTTCGACACGCGATCTACGCTGAACCAGCCCCGACCTCGAAAAGTAAGAGGATCAATCTTGCGTGCCTGAGCTCACGGAGAAGATCTAAGCGATGTCGACACGCACACAAGTTGAGAAATATGACAAAAATTCCCATATTCATCGCAATAATGCAA